GCGACAGACTTCAGTGCTGCGGATGAAGGAGGTGAGCGCGTAAGATGTTTGAGAGCGTGCCATGGTGCTGGCAGATCGAGGAATATGCAGTCAGCATCTGGGCCGGCCGCATCCTCTAGGCCAAAGCCGCCATTGTATACGTCGCGATGCGTTACCGTAACCAGCTGATCCAGGCCATGATCCTTGATCTCAACCTTCAATTGGTCGGCGCGTGGTTCGTGGTATTCAAAGCTGTATACGCCGCCAGTCCTCGTCTTGCGCTTCCTCTTCTTAGAGATGCCTACTGCATTTTCCTCATCACCGTTTGTCTCGGTCTCAGTCGCAGTGTCTTGCGTCCCAGGATAGCCATTATAGACTGCTCTTATTGCGGCGTGCGTAAAGCTTCCACTTCCTGCGCCAGCTTCAATAATATGGTCGCCCGGCCTTGCGCGCAGTCTTTGCAGGATGTAGCTGTAATCGGGCGTGTACACCACTTGGGTTCGGTGCGGTAGCGATATCGTCCAGGTCTCTGGCGTAGGCGGAATAAGATGCGCGAATCCACTACTTGCCGCCGCGGCCTTCACAATATCCCTCTTCTCGACCTCCTGCTCAGCGACAGGCTTGCCTTCGCCTTCATCCTTAGCGTCCCTCTTGCGCTTTTTGTTTTTGCCGCGCGATCCAGTATCGACCTTTGACGCAAGAATTTGCGTACCCCATGGCTGACCGACAAGTGTGCTGTGAGGAAAAGAGCCAAATCGCGTGTTCTCGACCCTGCCTTCAGGGTAGTCTGAATCGGCTTCTGGTGTCAAGACTGCAGGAATGAGATGGTCGCGGCGCAATTGGATGACACCGAGGTTATTTGCTGTCGCACAAGTTCCTGGATCAAGGAACGGGGAGGGTGTAATGGCCATGGGCGCGGTTGGGCAAATCGCGACAGAAAAAAGATGTGGAGATGATGCGATCGCGACTCGGAGCTCCAGAACAAAAAGATATTCAGCGGGGAGCTTTCGAGATTGCCATTGGAGGGGGGCGCCAAGGCTTTTACGACAGGGATTCTTATTGCTCATCGAGACACCACCAACAAGACGTGACCAGAACTTCACTTACTGACTCACCGTAAGCCGCATCTGAACTAACACCTGGCCTTACTACAAGCACTACTTCCTGTCACTCCTTACAGTTCCGTTTACCGCCACATTGATGGTACTTGCTTTCCGGTCCTTGTCCCGCACCATCAAATCGCCTTCCCCACTTCTACTTTCGAAAACCACCTGCAGCCAAATATATCGAAGTCAGATATCGCCAAGGCTAGCAGCCAACATGGCAACACCGGCGCGCACCCAACCTCCATGGAAGCAACCCGAAGGCTCAAGTCCAGCCAAATTGAAAGTCTGGAATTCTTTGACCAGATCAAAGAATGACTTTGTACCCATTGATCCCGAAGGCAAGGAAGTGAAGTGGTATAGCTGCGGTCCTACAGTCTACGACGATGCGCACTTGGGGCATGCTCGAAACTACGTCACAAACGACATCCTACGAAGAATTCTGGCTCACTATTACGGCTACAAGCTGAAGTTCGTCCAGAACATCACAGACGTTGATGACAAAATCATTCTGCGCGGGCGCCAGCAATATCTCCTTGGAAAGTTCAAGGCCGACAACCCAAAGGTGACGGAGGAAGTTATCAACACTACCATCAAAGCCTTCGACGCATATGTTAAGAAAAACCTACCCTTACTCAATCCGGACGTTACTATTGGCAGCTTCAACAGCGATTCTGCAGAGAAGTATGCCAACGTTATCCAAGGCAAGTCTGTCGACGGCGTTGGCCCGCCAGGCGACAAGGAGGCGAAGATCAAGATGCATCTCCGAACGGCTAGCACAGCAGTAACATCGTTGCTTGCTCCATCGAAGACCACACCCGAAGACATTGAGATCTTCTATGCTGGCGCCGAGGACGTCCTATTACCATACCTCGACTCACTCTATGGCTCAACTATCGACGCCAGTGATCACTCAGTCTTCACCACACTCACCAAGAAGTACGAGGCACGCTTCAACGAGGATATGCGCGCACTCAATGTTTTAGACCCAGATGTTGTCACCCGCGTCACTGAGTACGGCGACGACATTGTTGCTTTCGTAGACAAGATCATCAAGAACGGCATGGCCTACAGCACATCGGACGGATCTGTCTACTTCGATATTGAGAGTTTCGAGAAGAGAAAGGGCAACCACTACGCACGCCTTGAACCATGGAACAGGGGTGACACGAACCTGCAAGCAGATGGCGAAGGTGCCCTGTCAACAGTTAAGACATCTGAGAAGCGCAACGACTCCGACTTTGCTCTATGGAAGTCTTCTAAACCGGGAGAGCCAGCGTGGAAGAGCCCATGGGGTCCTGGTCGACCAGGATGGCATATCGAGTGCTCCGTTATGGCTTCAGCCGTATTGGGCGAACAGATGGACATCCACAGCGGAGGTATCGATCTTTGCTTTCCCCATCACGACAATGAGCTCGCACAGTCAGAGGCCTACTGGCAAAAAGACGGCGGTTCCCAGTGGGTAAACTACTTCCTTCACATGGGTCATCTGTCCATTTCAGGATCCAAGATGTCAAAGAGCTTGAAGAACTTCACGACAATTCGAGAAGCCTTGAGCCGCGGCGACTGGAATGCCAGAAGTTTACGTATCATCTTCCTCCTTGGAGGCTGGCATGACGGTATCGAGATCACACCAGATATGCGAAAGTCGGGTTCGTCTTGGGAGAGCTATGTGACAAACTTCTTCTACAAGATTCGGGATCTTGAGGTTCACCCAAACATCAGCTCAACAGGCGCGGAAGACGAGAAAGTTAAGAAGTCTTTTGAAGTTGCGAAAGAGAAGGTTCACAGGTAAGGCTCAAATCTCAGTGATCTCTACAGCTCCCACTGACACTCAATCTAGTGCGCTAGCCGACTCTTTCGACACGCCTACAGCTATGCGTGCCATATCTAGTCTTATCACAGACTACAATTCAGCCGACAAGGCTGGACTGTCCGATGACGTGTCCTTCGACGTCGCTCGCTACATCACTCGAATGGTCCGGGTATTCGGTCTGGACGGTTCAGCCGACCCATGGGACGGCGGTATCGGCTGGGCTGGCATTGATATTCCTGCTGCTGCTAAGGAGCACGTATACGCTGTCTCGCGAGAACGCGATCAGGTCCGGCAACATGCCATCGCTGGTGACCTCAATGAAAAGTTGGACTCCATCATCGAACAGCATACCCCCGCAAAACAGCAAGACATCGAAGCACTCCCATATGCCGAAGTACTCTCAACCTTCCAAGAATCCCTACAAAACTTGGCGAAGAAGCAAGCGCCGGCAAAGGACTACCTCGACTTGTGCGACCAGCTGCGCGACACGCACCTCTGGGATCTTGGTATCTATCTTGAAGATCGTGAGAACGCTCCTGCCATGGTCCGCCCCGTCGATGCCGAGCTGCAAGCAGCGCGCTCCCAGAAGGAGGAAATCGCTCGTCAAAAGGCCGAAGCAAAGCTCAAGCGCGAACGTGAGGAGGCGGAGAAGAAGGCTAAGCTTGCGGAACAAGCTAAGATCAACCCGAAGGATATGTTCAGGACGGAGGAGTACAGTGCGTGGGATGAGGATGGTATGCCAACCAAGGATAAAGATGGCGCTGACGTGGCGAAAGGAAGGGTGAAGAAGCTTAGGAAGGAGTGGGAGAAGCAGAAAAAGCTGTTTGAGGAGCATTTGAAGGCATAAACTGAGGGAATCTGAAGCATGTTTGGAGAGATGTACATCATCGAATTCCATTCCATTAGAGTCATATGTATCGCACTGCTGCCCGGTGTATGTTCTGAAGACCAACATATGCTACTGTCTCGTTTCCATCAAAATATCAAAATGCTCTGTGTACTGCTGACTATTCTCCCTCTTCTTCTCTCCTAGTCCTCCACCTTGGTTGTTGTCGGTTCCAAGGGAAGTTCAAAAAGAACATTCATCAGGACGTAATCATCAACATCCGCAAGGTGCTTCAAGTTCTGTAATAGATATGTGAGGATGCTAAAGATGTCTTTACTTGAAACGTGTTCATCTTTGTCCAATGAGGAGTTTGAAGGCCTATTTAGGAGAAGGTAGAGATGATAGTGCGGATTGAAAACGTATCCATCAAAACCAGTGCGCTTTCGGGAGTTTGTATCTAGCTTCATATCGCTGTTGGTGACGCAAATCGTCGCTGGTGCATCTTTTAAACAGCGGAGCCCTCTCCATACACACTTATTCCTCTCACTCCGAAGATTCAATACGCAGGTACTACTATCATTGTTACTACTGTGTCTGTTCAGCCTATATTGAACTATCCATCTAAGTATGCAGATTGACTCATGATTTGGTAGCCGGGTACGTATGATGTCGGATAAAGTTGCTTATCTAGTGGCAATATCGCAAGGAGAAGGTCAAGCGGTCAAACAAGGCGAACACAGGCCCAGTAGTACTGACTAGATACTTAGATGCATGAAAAAACTTAGAATATCTTGCGAAAAAGTAGGCACCAGAGCTTTGACGGTATGTACTACGAAGCTTACCAATAACATGATGTAGATTGTGGTGTTGTACGGCAACATTTTGTGAGAGCCGACGGGCGCTAGTTTAAAGATCGACAGCATGACTCCAAACATGGCCTAGCGTGTAGATTACCAATGCGGTGAGAACGCCGAATTTTGGGGAAGCGACCATGAGCTTTCCCCGTCTTCCTAGGGGAAGCCTCGCAATTGGGTGTCTGGCACACGTCGTGCAGATGGATTCATTACCCAGTCCAAAGGGAGTATCGGACCCCAACTAGCTTCCGCGGCCGGCGAGTGGGGATGATATGTGGAAAAGACGGTTGACCGTCGGATAAAACACCGAAGGATGGGTTTCTTTCGAATATCCACTCACCAGCCACATCACGTCTTGGGAGCTCTGCCTCTCGGTATTCCTCGCTATTCAGGCAGCTGCTAGTATCTGTTTCCACAATAACATGGATACCAATCGCGATATCGAGAAAGCAACAACATCGGAGTTCGGACAAGCGCACTCCGAACGCAACCATGACGCATCGTACGCATCAATAAAAGTACCCTCAAGAACGGCGTCGCGAAATGAAGAGGAGGAGATTGCAAGAATACCAACACACATGTCTCACGCTTCTCGTACAAAGAAGTCGGTCGTTGGGCTTGCAAAGACCATTACCGCTCGTTCGAATGCGTCCGTCATCGATCCTGGACCACCGCCCGATGGAGGGACCAAAGCTTGGATACAGGCATTCATGGGTCACTTCGTGATATTCAATACATGGGGCATGATTGCCACGTTCGGAGTCTTTCAACAACACTACACGCTCGATCTAGGCCTTGAGCCATCAGCCGTATCCTGGATCGGAAGCTTTCAAATGCTGGGACATTTCTCGCTAGGCATGTTGACAGGTCGGTTGTTTGACGCAGGATACTTCTACTGGTCTGTCATACCTGGCATGCTCGTCTCATGTCTAGGAATGTTCATGACCAGTCTATGCACAAAGTACTGGCAATTCTTCCTTGCGCAGGGTGTCATGAATGGACTGGGGAACGGTATGCAGTTTGCTCCCGTCCTGGGACTCGTCAGCACATACTTTGCGAAGAACCGGAGTGTGGCGCTGGCAATCATGGCTTCAGGTAGCGCAACCGGTGGGTTGGTATATCCGACCATCGCGCGACAGCTTCTTCCTAAAATCGGCTTTCCCTGGACAGTCAGGGTCATGGGGTTCATGATGTTGGCCATAGGGACATGTTACTGCTCGCTGCTGAAACCAAGACTACCTCCGAGGAAGTCTGGTCCGGTTCTTGAACTTAGTGCTTTCGGAGAGCTGCCATACAGCGTGTTCCTGATTGGAGTCTTCCTCATTGCTCTCGGACAGTACTTCGCCTTCTATTACATCTCCTCCTTCGCAGTCGATATTCTCGACTTACCATACGGTACCTCCATCAACGTTCTCTTAGTGCTCAACGGTGTGGGTGTCCTTGGTCGTCTCGTGCCCTCATACTTCGCTGACAAATATACTGGGCCATACAATATTCTCATACCCTTTTGTTTCGTTTCCGCTTTTGTCCTGTACTTCTGGCCTCTGGTCAAGAGCGAGGCTAGCCTTTACGCTTGGGCTGTGTGCTATGGTTTCTTCGTTGCGGGCTTCCAGGGTATCTTCCCAGCTGCGATGACTACACTGACAAAGGACATGAGCAAAGTGGGCACGAGAAATGGTCAAGGCCTCGCGATCGTCGGACTGGGCACTTTCATTGGGCCGCCAATCGCTGGCGCGCTGATACAAAGTAACGGAGGAGGCTATCTAAGTGCGCAGGTGTTCGCTGGGACTGCAGTGTTACTGGGGAGCTGTATTTTGGTAGTGGGACGGTGGAGTATCACGGGACCGAATCTAAAGGTACGAGTATAGAATAGCATACTAGGGGATAGCAGCTACATCAACAGGTTTTCAACCGATATGGTTGCCTTCTTACATTCCACGTTTCATCGATCGAAGTCTAGTAGTAGCAACACCTCTCGCTCCCTTCTTGCCCCCACCGATTGGTATGTACGTGCCATTCAACCCACAGCCTGGATGCTCGCATGTTGAGATAGTATGCACATATCTGATTTTGCCCTTCTCAACGCGGAAAGTATGGCTATCCGGCGCCGGCGTCTCGCTCGCCCTGTCCAATCCTGGAAAGCCCAGATAGATGTTGACACTACCCATCTCTACATCAACCACATACCGTCGATCCTGAACATACACATTGCTCGGCAGACCCAGATGACATGTTTCTCCATTTGTCATATTAGTGTCGGTGTACGCACCTCCCTCGAGCCTGGCACACGGCGTGCCAAAGGGAACAGTGATGTTGACGTTGCCAAAGCGGTTGAAATACGCATCACCAGCTGCTTTGATGACATCGCGGGTATCCCGGTCTGCGAGCGGGATAGGCGTCCAGCTTTCTTTGCTGTTCCAGTAGGCTGTACCTGTAGCATTAAACAGCCAATCTCCCTCATCGCTAACCAGAGTCTCCATCTTCGTTACGTACTTCCCATTCCCCTCGATGCGCACGCCAAGAACATATGGATGGCTCGGCTCCGGTACAATGATCTCGGTGAAGGCGCTGCAAAGATACGGATCTAGAAAAACGCGCGAATTGGTGCTGTTAAGCGGTTTGTTTAAGATGGATGTTGAGGCTGAGAGATTGGCGGGAGTAAAATTTTCGGAGTAGGTATAGTTTTGTAGCATGTAGTTGGTGAGGAGGGATGAATTGCCGACAGTCTGCGCATTCAGATAAAGTGATGTGAAGGCAGCGAGAAATTCGCGTTCGCATGCACTCATGGCAAGAGGAAATAGCAATGATGCGCTGAGAAGGATTAAAGAGCGCATTGTGTGAGGTGTCTCTAGCAGTGAAGCAAGCGTACAGAAATCGTTATGTTAGGGTGTTGTTAATCGCATTCCTTCAAGCTTTATGAACTTACAGACTTTTCGAAAGCTTGAACTGCCGTTGAAAATAGTATGCAATACCAATTACAATTTGCGTTCATCGCGGACGAACCTGCATAGGCTTTAATATGCGAATAGAGTGTGGGGCTAGCCGGCATCATGAACACCTAAGTACATGCAGCCTCTGCACCCGGCGGTAATTTACAATACATCTCAGGCAACTCTCTGGAAACATCATGAGCTCTGTGTGAGTGGTCCGATGCTCACCTAGGCGTAAAGATACCGGGAGATGATACATCACTGAATGCCGACAGATATGTTTACAAAGTTTTATACACGTTAATTCCACTAATCAGAGTACCTCATCGTGCTATACATGCTAAAGCAGAATTTGCAGATCGCACAGTTTTTATCATGCGGCATATCCAAGGCCTTTCACTGTGGGCTCATCCATATATGCGACCCCGAACAAAGGAGAAATCAAGAACAGAACGCGAATCGCAAGCAAACCTTTCATGATGTGGTGAAACTCGAGCCTGGAGATATAATGCTCTAGACGAAACTAGGCTGAAATGTCTCTGGAACGCCCCACTCTCGAACTGAGCTACGACTGCAAGCACGTGAGGTATCTTCGGCAGGCATGGGCTTTTCAATAACCGGCTCCTCGTCTTCGTCTTTGCCGTACATGTCTTTGGCCAGATCGAAAGCGTCTTGTAGTCCGACCTTATCACTGAGACTCTTCTCCTGAATCCACTTCCACACCTTCTTCATCTCAGCACTGTCTTCGATGATGGACTTCTCAAGACCAGAGATGTTGCTGCTGTCGACGGGAATATTAACCCTCTCATCACCCGATTCGATGGTGGCCCAGTAGGTAACGGTATAGGCAGTAGGAATGGGGGGTTTAGGCTTTGCAGTGTCGGTGGGTGTAGCAACGGAACCCCATGCAGGATGGTCACCACCAAATGCGGCTCGGTCTGCCTCACATTCGTGGCCGAAATCATCGCAGTACTTCATACCACACTTCTGACAGTAATGATGATCAGCTGGGCTCTCGTTTCCCGGGCAACAAGTACTCCATACTCCAAGCTCGGGTGTGGCTGTGCGGACGGAGGTTGCCTTGACTGTTTCCTTTTGATGTTGTTCTTTGACCTTGCGCTCCTTTGGTTCGCTGGAACTTGATTTCACTGGCTTAAGGGCCTTGAAGCGGACCCTACACTGTGGAACTGTCAAACCCAGTGCGTCGGCGATGGCAACCCAATCAATCTTTGCGTCTTCATTCTTCCATTTCATGAGCTCTTCGTCCATCACCTTAGTCCGCGGAACAGGACACAGCTTCCAGCAATCGTTGTCGTTTTGGTGCTGGAAAACGGTGTCGTAAGCCTGTTGAAGCTGTTGTCGTTCTTCGGGGATGCCTTCCACCCAGGGAAGATAATGTTCGAACATCTTCTGTAAGAGGTCAAAGTCAACAGAGTTGTAGGCTTCCAGACCAAGGAACGCAAATGCCTCCCTCACGCTCATAAGTGACGGAGTAGGCTGGCCTTCATCTCCCTCGATGCCAACTTCTTTCTCCGACGAAACACCCCATGGCTTTCCTTGATTATCGACGTTCTCCGTATAAAACCGAGCCGCTGTTCTGAATTCGGCGTTCTCAAGCGGGGCGAGCCAAGCCCTCAGCATCTGTCGAAGATGTTCAGGACCCATGGCGTTACGGTACACGGAGACAGCCGCAACCAAATTCGCGCCACACATGCGGAGAATCTCAAATGCTTCTTCGCGGGTGAAGCTGTTGTTGGCGACCTCCAGAAACTCATCGACCATAGAATCGTCCGGCGCGATAGGATTGTGGGGAGATGCAAAGCCAGTGGCCGTCTTGACGTCGGATGCTTTCGTAGGGTGGCCTGACTCAGCGACAACGGGAACGATCTTAGGGTCGGATCTGCTGAGATTGTCATGAACTATACCAAGGCGTTCTTGATTACGATACAGTTTAGTAGCAGCCGGCTTCTTGTTATCGGTTGCGTTATCAGCTGGTGATGCAGCGGCGACATACTTGTAGGGTGGTAGCATGTCCTGATCACGCAGCTGGCGGTGGACCTCGTCGAAACTCTTGAGCTTAGGAGAAACTCGCTGTTCTGCCTCTCGATCTTTCGCCTCTTCCACAGCGTAAGCATTGAACAAATGCCAGTAAGAGTCTCGTTCCTCCATTCGGAGAGGAGAGCGGACTGTATTTGCAGTATTTGACTTCGTGTCTGCAGTATTGGCTTTCACAGTGCTCCACTTCTTCTCAAATCCCTCTGCGCCCTGACCGCGATCCTGTTCAGTAGAGGGGACGATGTGGTCTCCCACCAGGAGAGGGACAACATCATCTGCGTAGGGTGAAGACTGAGTCTCGGAGTTACGAAGGCGAGGCACATGGGACTCCGAGTGTTGACCGTACATGTCTCCTACGTCCTGGTCGAGTTTCTTAGCTGGGGAGCAGATATTGCCCAGTTCCGAGGCAATACTAACGAAAGATCCACCAATGCTTCCGGTGGGCGCGCAAGACCTCATGATCTTGCGAGTTTTGTCGCTGGCTTCTGGAGATCCGTCATAGTGTTCACCGTGGTCTTGTTGGTCGTGATCGAACCACTCTTGAAGAAAGTCACCCACGAGGCCGTGACTCTGGGCAGATTCGTGGTCGCTCTTGTGCACAGATACCATGTACTCATTATTGAGGAGACCGAGGAGCTCATTGAGTTGAACATAGGCTGGGTCATCGTGAGTGAATGCTTCCAAGGATGTAATGCACAGGTTGATCGCTTCAACGATCTGGCCGACGGTGCGACGACCGATCTTTGAAGGCAATGAGTGCTCATCGGAGCTCGGTGGCGTAAGTGCAGCTTCACGAGAATGATCTTCACCGTCACTCTCGCTATACGAGCTCGACGCCCATGGAGCGACCGAGTCTGGACGTCCGCGTTGGTGGAATCGAGACATCGTTGCTAGTTTGAACTGTTGTAGATGTGTTGTTGTTGTATGTTGTCTGAGAATGGGGAACCGATGGATTTGTGGAGGATTGCGGTGGAGAGAGTAGGTCGAGTCCGCAGCTAGATGGTTTATATGTCCTTGACGCACCAGAGCTTGGACGCGTATTCTGGTGAGAGCAGGTAAAGTCGGTCTAACTGAAGATAAGAGGTGAAAGACGGGAGAGTTGAGGTTCCATATAAGTCAGTATTATGACGTATCCAGCGAAGCAAACGCGTCGGTAAAGTGAGAGAGACATGTCAATTGTCCACGCGGAGCATAGGAAAGCTGGAAAAAGCTCACTGGACGGCTAATGTCGACCAAGACAGCTTGCACCTGACAAGATAATGTAGTGTATGATCACTGGAGCAGCGGCCTCATCTCAGCATCCCTTGTGTTCCACCAGAAGAACCCCCTCTTTCTTGTCCCTTCATCTACCTCCTCAATCTCGAACTCTTTCGGTTTGCCGCTCATCCGCCGCCACCACATCCCCCATCCCTCACTCTTTCTCACCCAGATATCCTCACTACTGTCCTCAAATATCACATAACCGCCTCTGCTTCCCCTAGTACCTAGCCCAGCCAACTTGATACATTTTACGAGACCGTATAGCACCAAGACACCAAGTAGAGTAGAGAAAATCGTCACTATGGACGTCAAGAATGTGATTGTGGATACTTGACAGCCTAATCCAGAAGTACGGAGCTCGAAACGCTCGGAACGTAGAGCACATATCGAGTCGTAGCGGATGGGTGTGAGGAGAGGGAACGCTTTTGACAGGGAATCTGTGGGCAGCGGAAGGCATGTTGACGACTGTTGCCAGAGTTCAGTAATGTCTCGCAACATTCTAGACATGTAAATTTCTCTACAGAGTGAACCATAGGATATGGAAGTATTATTCGACGTCATGAATGAGATCGGTTCTGCTCACAGCCTGCTACGACTTCATGGCTAAAAGGAAGATGAACAAAATGCGTACGTACAATCGCACACCAGCCACAATGACCTTCACTTCGGTGACAATCACCGCAATCGTCATAGCCCCAACACTTCAATAATCGATCCCAGTCTTCTTTGGGGCTACTTTGAAGTCGTCCATGGATCAATTCCGTCACGTTTGTCGACGCGTCATCGCGCTTGGCAGAGGTGGCTGGGCAGTTCGACGACATTGCGCATGTACAACTTTTCACAAGATATATACAGACCAAGCTACACCAATTTGTTCAACGACAGCGAAAAGATCAAAACGCGCAGAAAGGTGTTGAGTTGAGACGAATGGCGATAGCGAAAGATCAACTGAAGCGGGGCAAGATAAGACGTGCGCTATGCCACATCGGTCACTATAAGTGCTACACGTGTTAATTGGCCGGTTCACAGAGCAGGTATTCAGTAGCGGAAGATGCAGGAAGAGCGAGTGATATACACTGAAGCTAAAGTATGTACAAAGAAGATGCCCCAGATGCAATGTGTCCCAAAACGAGGCTAGATAATAGTTTCGCGTCCCTTAGTTGGGAATGCACTGAGAGAAGTAGTCGTTGTTGACCGCGCACTTGTATCCACTGACACAAGATGTTGGACCTGTGTAGCCCTTACCCCCACATCTGATGAGATGTTAGTAAACGTTTTGTAGATGGTAGTGTTCCAAGTACTTACTGTTCCCAGGCGTTAGCCACCTTGGTGGGAGTAGGCGCTGGTGCTGTGGATGTCTTGATAGTAGTTGGCTTCGCCGTTGATGACGGCTTCACAGATACAGTTGACGACTTAATTGGCGCCTTCGAGGAAGTGGGCTTAGCGGAGGCTGCAGATGACTGCATGGACGACGAAGGCTTACCACCTCCACTGCTTGCACCAAGTGCAAGAATCTTAGCAGCGGCATGTTCTGCAAGGACGACGATGTAGGATGTAGGGTTGGTGAAGATGTGGCTGTGCTATGTTAGTTTGAAGATGATTGAAAATTGGTAGGATAGAGCTTACCCGGGGAACAGAGAAGCGTCAACTACGTGGATGTTCTGGGTTCCGTACACCTGGGTGTTCAAGTCTACGACAGAGGTTCCACCGGTGAGACCGCTATCGGTTCCGATCTTCGCGGTACCAATCCAGTGATTGGCGCGACGGGCAGCTGGGGTTTTGGGAAGGCTGGCAACGTATGCCTCGACCGTCGTGCCCTCAGGAGGTACTTGAAACTCGATTGCCGGGTTCTTTTTGATGGCCTTCATCATGCTCTTGATACCTGCAACAACCACACCGGTGTCGGCTTCGTTCTGAAGGTAGGGTGCTTTGCTGACATAGACGTTGAGAGCACCGTTGATTGAAAGCGTACCACGCGAAGTAGAGCCATGGCCAAGGTACTGGCTGATGGTGAGGTGGTGAGTGTCGTTGGCGCCGGGACCTTCAACGCGAGCAGTCCACTGGATCGATCGGTCAATACCATCACTTCCAGTGATGACTTCCCAAGCAAGAGGGCCGATGTTGGGAGCAGACTGAGCAAGAATACCAGAGCGCTTGCCAAGGTACAGGTCCTTGTCAGCCTCGATAGGGGCATCCCACGCCTTGTAAAAGTCGTAGAAAGAGATATTGGGGTGCTTGATGACAAGGTCGGTGTTGACGTGGTCGTTCAGGTTTTGGCCGACGGGGAGGTTGATCCAGTCAGACTCTCCGATCATCGTCGAGCCATCGAGGGCGCTGTTCTTCACAACGTTCAACTGATCCTTTGGTCCAATGCCACTGCGGAAGAGAACCTTCGAGGATCCGAAAGCTCCACCAGAAACAATGACACGACCTCCAGGGTTGAGGTTCACGGTACCGCAGTAACCAGTACCACCGACACCGCTCTCGAGCTCAACACCGGTAGCTGCTCCGCCAGAGCGAACGATTCGTCGAGCCATGGTGTTTGTCCAGAGCTTAAAGTTCTTCCTCGCCAGCGCAGAGACCATGTAGGTACCGAGAGGTCCCTGCCTCTGACCGTTGTCGTACATAAACGGAGAGTGAGAGTATGTGCGGTTCTTCTGGTTCTGTTGGTTGTTTGCAACGACGCTCTTCCAGCCATCTGCACCAAGCGCACCAGACAGGACATCGAAACCTTCCTGCTTGTAACGCTTGCCGTCGACGGAAGGAGTGTCGGTACCAGGGATGCGCTTGAACACACGGTCGATCGCGCCCTTCACATCAGCTGACTTCCAGCCGGCGGGGAATTGGTAGTCGAAATCGATGTCGACCGGCTTCCACCAAAGCGCAGCGTTGACAGCAGAACCTCCGCCAAGAACACAGCCAGCCATTTGGTCAATATCAGTGCAAGCAACACCTGCGGAGTCAACCCAGATCTGGTTGCAGAGACCGGGAATGTCGAAACGGGTCAGGTTGTTGCTAGTAGCCCAATCAGGACCCATCTTTCCGCCAAAACGAGCGAGAGATGGCGGTCCCTTCTCGAGCATGAGGACGCTCTTGCCAGACTCAGAGAGTTTGTCCGCTACGGGGATACCTCCAGCACCACCACCGATGACGATGTAGTCGAATGAGCCTGAAGGAGCAGGAGATCCGACGCACTTGACTGGTGTAGTTGGAGTGGGGGTGGCTGATGGCTGACCCGATAGGGTGGGCGTGGGTGCACCAGAAGGCTGGCCACCTACCAGCTTGACATAGTCAGAGTATTTCGCATTCCTTGCATCCGCCGTGGGAGCACCGAACTGAGACTGTCCCTTGTTGTGGAAGACCCATGTGCCGTCATAGATCTTGTCGTGCTGGGCCCAACCGATGACATTGACTTCGGTAGTGGGAAGTTGAGAGCCTTCAGCGCCGCCTTGGTTCCAGACCCAGCAGTGCTCGCATCGGTACACAATCTCGAAGTGTGTGTCGGTGACCGAGTGGAAGATCTGGCTCAAAGTCGCGTTGCCGGTGTAGTCATCAGGAGCAACATAACCACCTGCCCAGACGAACTTGGTCTTGACGGCATCAGTCTCCGGCCATGCAACGAGCAGAAGAGAGTTGGGCATGCCGCCAGCGTGACTGACACCAGACCATCCCTGCCTGTTCGCTTCAAGTGACCCCTTGATGTAACCGATGTACTCGTCGTTGGCGCCTGTGGGCTCTCCGGGCAATACCCAACCCCATTCAAAACCACCTGCTGTCTGGGAGTCACTGACTACCTGGCGCCAGAACTCAATCCCGGTGCCTTCGTGGGTGAACTTCTCCTGCGCAAGAGCGACAGGAGCGAAAAGAGAGGATAGCAGCGAAGCCGCTCGAACGAAAGAAGTAGTCTTCATCTTGGAGACTTGTTACCAGCACGTCGAAGATGAGAGAGCTTGACAAGGGCAAGTGAAAGCTGTGCTTTCTATAGCTATGCCAGGGTGTGGACGCGTTATATACATCTCGACTTTATCCTAGACTGCTTCGCAGAAGCCGTCGCGTATGGGGTTGAGACCAATAGCCAAGCCACCACCTGGGAAACTTCCTTCCGGAGGCGGCAGAACTACGCCTTCAACCAGGTACGGGAGACGCGCGCTGGCCAGGGTGAGCCTAACTGAGGGCGTGATTACCGTGGGCAGCATCGTCATTGGTTGTTTCGAAACTAAGGTGATCTGGCCGAGATTCAAGGTTAGTCGTTAATATGTACAAACTACAGGCGGCATGGGTGGATTGATTGATGTAGATTGATAGAAGCCGGGATTGCGACTTGCTCGCCGTCAGCCATGCGCCCCTTACCCGTTCGGGGTCCAGCTTTCCCCACAAACGTCTAGTGGCGGATGTGACAAACCATCACTTTCGCGCTTCCGTCTTGCATCAGCCTCTTCGAATACAACGTCTGCACCATCAGAGTCTTCGGGAATATTAACAAGTCAGTGCCTCTGATCTCGTGCAACCGCCACATCCTTCTCGGTACCGGCTTCTCCTCGCATGTTCCGTGAGGCTGCCCCAAAATGAAGGACGGCTTCCAAGCCTCCTTCGCAGAACGACAAGATGCGCACGTTTCATTAATTGAAACACTCGACCAGACCAGTAACACACAATCTATTATATTAGCCATTTCTTCTTTCGCTTCACAGATCCCAAGACTATCTGCCATGATGTCGCGGCATACCTCGGTCGTATCCTTCCTCCTGTAATTAACACTGTGGTTCTTCCATCCAACCGCCGGCTCAAGTTATACAGTCGATCCGTGACTACGTTGGCGCCCGTTACCTATTTGGTAATTGCCGAGGATTCTATGCATTGAAAATCCGTAAAGCACGTGTCCTATGCACACTTTTCCATAAATGCACTGCAGCGGGCAAAGTATATTGAGAAATAAAGGACTCCTGGTCACACGCCTCCATCGCCAGTCGCACACGTGCCGAAGCCGAGTCCCCAACCAGCTTTGGACAATGGCTCCGTGTTCCATTTGGACAACTCAGAAAACAGTACACCATGATACCATATAGGAAGATTCGCCGTCGTAGTTGTGAACAGCATTGTGATCTTGGGCAACGATTTACACTATGAAGGTCTCTGTGGTCACTTGTTTCTTGTCAGCTAGCGCATCGGCGCATACAATCTTCACTCAATTGCACGTCAACGGCGTGGGGCAAGGACATACCAAAGGAATCCGGGTGCCGGTGAGCATGCTCGTAACAACTTTCCTACTAATCGCCTCCTAACAGCACGACACACAGACCTACGACGGGTAATGTGCCCCACAATCATGTTCTGAATCGCAACTCATTCGGTTTTCAGACCAATTCAAGACGTAACGTCTAACGATGTCATATGTAATGGCGGGTAAATCATAACAAAGCGCAAGGTCAAGCGCTATATTGACCCACATACAGCATAAACCCCTACAGAACGCCTCTTCCCAAAGACATCATCAATGTATGTCGGTTTCGCAATAAGCAAGCTACGCCACATGGCTTCGGCTTACAACATGCTAGGTCAAAGCCGGAGACAAGCTCACTGCCGAGTGGCACCACACGCTTGATTCTAAACCTGAGACGGATAAGTCAGATCCCATCGACCCCGGTCATCTAGGCCCCATTATGGTTTATCTCGCCAAAGTCGATGATGCTTTGTCTACCACAGTGACGGGACTCAAGTGGTTCAAGATCTACGAGGATGGTATGGATGCCAATGGCGAGTGGGCAGTTACGAGGCTTTACAACAACAAGGGTCTAGTAGACTTTGTACTTCCGTCTTGCATTCCGAGTGGACAGTAAGTCGCACCTTTCTCTTCCAATCTCTTCTGCCAAAAGTTGTCATGAAGTTCTGGCTGACACAGTCCTTCTCAGATACCTCCTCCGAGCCGAACTTATCGCTCTCCATGCTGCGAGTAATTACCCGGGTGCTCAACTCTACATGGAATGTGCCCAGATAAACGTAACAGGAGGTGGTACTGCCAGTCCGGCTACAGTCAGCTTCCCGGGTGCATACAAAGCGACTGATCCAGGCATCAAGTTTCAGCTCTACTGGCCGAAACCGACAAGCTATACCATCCCAGGACCGAGGCCGTTCACCTGCTCTGCGAAGATTAGGTAAACAAGTGAGATTATCAGTCATATGGTGTCTCGCTTCACGCATGAATCCATATTTCAGGACGCTGTTGTAATTTCGATGAATAGATGAGATGTAAATGCATATGACGATAGTTTGAACCCGTCCAAGACTCAAGAATAACATCTGCATCAATCCGAAAAAAAAAACAGACCAATACCTAAATGAAGCATTCGTGTATGCACCCCACAAGCGTCCGAGATGAATCTCACGTGCATCATGCGTGATCGTTGTTTCCAAGTCTGGTACCTGCATCAGCAGCTCCGCCCAGCTTCCCCACCAACAATCGCAGCTCCACATCCATACGCCCCAAACCCCGACGACATCAGCATACCCCGCAGATTCACGACCCATCACACTTGCAATAGCCAAATATACGCCCTATACAATTGAGTACTGCTACTTCGGCAAATTTTGGCCAGATTCCACACACACGCGCACAGTCCTATTGGATATGCATGACGAACGTGAGTTGTTCTCCAGACCTTCCCGCGACAATGCACATCCGCTGCGTTACGATGCATGTGTGTAGCCAGAACAGGCGCGCAGGCACGCGATTTGAAACCTAGTTTGTGGCTGCAAGAACTGTCGAGTGAGGCTACGAGACCTTGACATCGTCTCATACAGTCTGGCTGGCACGGCGCATCGCATACCATCTTCCTACATCCCCTCTACCACAACTACCACAACGTCTCAGAAACCCCCATGCTAACGTTTTCAATCCACAGACCCACATCCTCTCCTCGCCCAAGTTCCCTTGACACTCTCCCCCTTCCTCTCCCTCCCTACCTCGGTCCCCTTGCCATACTCCTACGTAACCCTACCTTCGACGCTTCCTCCCTCGATCCTGTCCCAACAGCAACAAGACGGGTCCAACGCGTCGAAACCCGCATACGTCATGTCTTCATCCGGCACGTCAGCGCACCCAGACCAGATTCTCACGTCATGTGTCGCACTACAAGAACACTTGTCTAAGCTAGAGGCCGACGCGAGGAAGACATTGGCGCAGTGGGAGGAGCGGAGGCAGAAGGAGGATCTTGCGGAGAAGAGAAGAGTTGCGCCGGGCTGGTTAGATAGTGGTGTACATATACTGAAGCCAGAGGAGAGTGGCGGAGGAGCGAAGAAGGAAGACCAAGCGCCGGTGCAGAATCTCATGGATCTAGATCCGCAAGCGGAGAGCAAGGCTAAAGAAGGCGAGGAATTGGATAGGGTGTTTGGTGGACTCCAAGTTTAGCTACTCAAACATCACATATACCCATGAGCAAGATTTAGTGACCAGCGGTCTTCATAATAGATTAATACCAAGTTATAGAACTATAAGCTGTGACATGCTGTTTAGCCCAAGCCCAGATACGCGTCGCCTACAGTGTCCCCATAGCGGCGCGACATTACAGACATATGAGAACCGAAGATACGGAAACAGAAGGGGAATCTTGAAGGAAGAATGTGGAGAATTAGTGCGACCATGCTGAATCACTGCACCATCTCTGTTCGTGCAATGCCACCAACGCCAAAGGGTGCGTCTAACGACGACCGTGAGAGCGGTTGATGCTGCCCTGGAGGTTGTCCACCTCGCCCTCAAGACGCTTGATCTCCGCGTGACTAGCCTCGAGGTCCTTGTTGAGGCGGTCGCGCTCAGCAATGAGCTTCTGCTCCCACTGCCTGAAGCGCTGCTCCTCAACCTTGACCTGTTCGGTGAAACGCTTGCGGAGCGCCTCTTCCTCCTCCTTGAACTTGGGGTTGTCCAGCTTCCTTGGGCGCGCCTCGCCAAACTTCCTTGTCTCCATCTGGCCGGCGCGGTAGGCCTCGTAGTGGTTCTCCTCGGTGGTGTGAATAAGGTCAAGCATGTGGGTTCGGATGAGGATGGCGCGGAGCTTCTTGAAGTCGCAGTGCTCCTCGTTCTCGACTTCGGCAACACCCCAGGCGTATTGGCGACCCTTGACGGTACGGCCGTCGTTGGTCTGAACGTCCTTCTCAGAACCGATAACGGAGAAAGGCATGGCGTCGATGAGGCCGCGTGCGTGCTGCATGGCGGCAGCGTCGTCGTCCTCGAGCGGGGGAGTGTAGATCTTGATGCCCTGAGCATCGATCACTTGGCGCACCTAATAGCGGTCAGTATCTGCTCATGCTATCTAGGCGGATCGTCTTACCCTCGCCTTGAATCTGGCCAGGTCTGTTGGGCTCAATGTGTCGGCCTTGGCTACAACCGGGATCAGGTTGACGCGTGTGCATAGCTTCTTCATGACCTCAATGTCAAGGGGCTTCAAGGTGTGGCCGGTGGGGCGGATGAAGTACAAGCAGGCGTGAACACGGAGATCGATCTTATCAGAGCGGCGCGGTTGTTGCTCTTGCAGCATGTACGACTCGTGCTGGTCGTCGAGGAACTCGATGATGGGTTGCCACGAGTCGCGGTTGTTGACGTAGTCACCGAAACCAGGGGTGTCGATAACAGTAAGGCGGACTGGGGGGTGTTAGTTGAAGGAGACGGGCAGTCCAATGGTGCTCTGCCTACCCTTGAAGAACTTCTCCTCGAGCTCAGCCTTGGTGATCTCAATCTCGACAGTCTTGTCCATCTGCTTGTGGTGTCGTCGCTTGTGGTCGGCATAGTTCTTGATGGTGGTGGAGAAGAGGGTGTTGATGAAGGTAGTCTTTCCGAGACCCGACTCGCCAGCAACCTGCGAAGGTTAGACTGATTATGAATTTTGATAGAGACAACGTTCGTACCATTATGGTGAAGGCAGCACCGCGCTTCGCAACAATCTTGTGCCTGTGCTACGTTAGGGCCTGATGCTTGCGTGTCCGCTCTGTTGATAGTACCTCTGGTTTGGCAGCTGCGATGCATGTTAGTATACGAATTGAAGGCATAGCTGTGGCAGAGGGGACACGTACGTTGGCAATGCCAATGGGGGACGCGGACTCGGCCATGGCGTTGATGTGTGGTTGACCGCTGGTGTGTATGGGGTCTGGGGAGCAGTGTTAGCTATGTCCAGTCTCGTAGAAGATGATGTGCAGTGTGCAAACATACATGGAGATTGCGGATGAGAAGCAATCCAGTAGTGAGGTTACTGAAAGGCGTGTGGTACAGGGTCTGGTGAGGAGACGTGGTGGTGTAGACAATTTGGGTCCCCTTTCTCAGAGTCGCCCATTCGGCAAGCACTGACCCTGAACGGGGTACCGCGACTAATGCAGCCTACCCAACTAGCGCGTCTAAGCATGATCCGAGCTTCGAAAAAGTTCAAGATGCGACCACGCCCGCCACGACATGACGAGACTGCAGCCAAGACATATTGAAGATGAAGACTGACTTCCAGGCAAGTCCAATCCTGCCATGGACGTGTTCGCAACTGACTTTTGTAGTTCTCCAACCTGCTGGGTACCGTCTACAGCAGAGGCAACCTTCTCTTCACTCCAGATGGCACATGTCTACTATCACCGGTTGGTAACCGGGTCACTGTCTTCGACCTTGTAAAGTGAGTATCAACTCGCGACTTCCACAATAATAGACGCGCGCTAATTCTGCCCAGCTCCAAATCACACACACTTCCGTTTGCGCACCGGAAGAACATCGCACGCCTTGCCCTCAACCCTCGCGGAAATCTCCTCCTCTCAGTCGACGAAGACGGTCGCGCAGTCCTTACCAATGTCCCTCGTCGCATCGTACTCTACCACTTCTCCCTCCGCGGCGAAGTTACCTCGATCGCTTTCTCTCCCTCGGGTCGGCATTTTGCAGTAGGCATAGGACGGCAGATCGAAGTATGGCACACCCCGTCTACTCCAGACGTCGCAGAGGGCGATTTAGAGTTTGCGCCATTTGTGCGACACCGGATATACACAGGACACTACAACAGCGTGCAAAGCATAGAGTGGTCGAGCGACTCGAGGTTTTTCCTTAGCGCGTCTAAAGATATGACGGCACGCATCTGGAGCGTGGATCAAGAAGAAGGGCATGCGCAGACCACACTGGGTGGACACAGGCAGGAAGTAGTCGGCGCCTGGTTCTCTAAGGATCAAGAGACTATTTACACAGTCAGTAAGGACGGTGCACTGTTCGTATGGAAATACATGCTGCGGTACGATGCGCCAGCCGACGCCGATGAGAACGACGACGAAAACCTACAATGGGGCATCGCGGAGCGCCACTTCTTCCACCAGAACAACGCACATGTCACATGCGCCAGCTTCCATCCCGAGTCGAAACTACTCGTTACAGGCTTCTCCCACGGTGCCTTTTTCATTCACGAGCTGCCAGAGTTTGCTCAAATCTCCAGCCTCAGCATTTCTCAAAACGATATCGACTATGTCGCAATCAACAAGACCGGAGAATGGCTCGCCTTTGGCGCATCGAAGCTCGGGCAGCTGCTGGTCTGGGAGTGGCAGTCGGAATCGTACATTCTGAAGCAGCAGGGGCACTTCGACTCAATGAACACCATCGCATACTCGCCAGACGGCCAGCGCATAATAACGGCGGCTGACGACGGAAAGATCAAGGTGTGGGAAGTCAGTTCTGGTTTCTGTGTCGTCACATTCACCGAACACATGGGTGGTGTAACGGCCTGCGAATTTGCGAAGAAGGGAAATGTCCTGTTCACAGCCAGTCTCGATGGTTCTGTCAGGGCGTGGGATCTCCACCGGTATCGCAACTTCCGCACATTCACAGCACCTTCGAGACTTTCGTTTTCATCCTTGGCCGTTGACCCGAGCGGCGAGGTCGTATGCGCAGGTTCTATCGATTCTTTCGACATTCACATCTGGTCTGTCCAGACCGGCCAGCTGCTTGATAGGCTGTCTGGGCACGAGGGCCCTGTATCGTCCTTGTCATTCTCTCCTGATGCAGGCACGCTGGTGAGTGGAAGTTGGGACAGGACTGTCCGCGTCTGGAACATCTTTGCTCGCACGCAAACAAGTGAGCCGCTGCAACTCATGGCAGATATTCTATCTGTCGCTTTCCGCCCCGACTCAAAGCAAATAGCCGTGACAACACTTGACGGGCAGCTCACATTCTGGAACGTCTCCGATGCTGCACAAGAAAACGGCGTCGATGCGCGACGAGATGTTTCTGGTGGTCGTAAGATGTCAGATCGAAGAACGGCGGCCAACGTCGCAGGCACCAAAGCCTTTACATCAGTCAAGTACAGTGCAGACGGGACATGTGTACTTGCTGGTGGTAACAGCAAGTACATTTGCTTGTACGATGTTCAGTCGGGTGTGTTACTCAAGAAGTTCACTGTATCCGTGAATCTTTCTCTTGATGGCACACAAGAGTTCCTCAATAGCAAGCTGCTCACAGACGCCGGCCCGCAAGGTCTTATTGACGACCAAGGCGAGGCGTCAGACCTGGAAGATCGTCGAGACACAACCTTACCTGGAGCGCAAAAAGGCATTGGCGCACGGAGAACACGACCCGAAGTACGGGTACCTGCTGTCGCATTCTCACCCACTGGGCGAGCGTTCTGTGCTGCATCAACAGAAGGTCTACTAATCTACTCACTCGACAACACATTCCAGTTCGATCCATTCGACCTAGACATCACCGTTACCCCAGCTACAACTCTCGAAACTCTCGCACAAAAGGACTATCTCAAAGCATTGGTCATGGCCTTCCGCCTCAACGAGCGCAATCTGGTTCGCCGCGTATACGAAGCCACACCCGTGGGTAGCGTAGCTTTGGTAGTCAAAGACCTACCTTCAGTGTATCTAGGCCGCTTATTACGATTTGTTGCTCTTCAGGCCGATGAGTCTCCGCATCTAGAGTTCAATCTAGTGTGGATCGAATCGCTCCTCAGCAAGCATGGTCGATGGATGAAGGACAACAAGGGCGGCCTCGAGGCTGAATTAAGAAGTGTTGAAAAAGCTGTTCGCAGGATACAAGCCGAGCTCGCCAGACTGGCGGACGAGAACATCTATCGCATTGAATATCTTTTGGCACAGCCGCCAGAGGAGAAAGGAAAGTCAGCACAGCTTGATTTTGGGGTCAAAGCCATTGAATATGGGACAACGGATGAAGAGATGGTCGATAGTGATGAAGGCGAAGATGTCGGCGAGTGGCTGGGATTTGAAGAGTGATACCATTGTACGAATACGAATCTTGACGAAATGATCTATTGAAGAACTCATCAAAACGTGACCACGACGGTACGAAAGACGCCGCGTCATGGACACCAGACCTTGGAGATATTCGCCATCGTGTATTTATTGTGTCGAGGTATGGCTGTACCGTACATCATGGTCCGGTCGTCCCTGCATTCCAGGTGTTGGTGTCGGGCACTGATAACGGATGGTAGCCTAGAATCACCCCTTCTGCCATCTAAGCACTTACGCTGGAAAGTGCCATACTGTCACAATACAGCAGTCGCAATGCTCGCCAGCTCAAACAAAACTCTGGTGGTTCCGATAGAACACGCCTCACATATTGCTATTGCACTATCGTCTCACAACAACCCTCACATCACCAGATTCCTTGAACTACTACTGTCTTTTGCTATCTGTACTGCCTCCGTTATGGCTGCTTCTTCCCGGGCCACTACCTCTCGTTCAAACCCCACTACTTCGCCCACTTGGAATCCTCCATACAAACTCCCACCTACGGCATCTGTCAGGCCACGATCTACATCTTGCTCGGCTAGATATTCTACGGTAATGATGCAGAGATGTCCTCTGCCATGGGAGTGGCGACCGGCTAAGATGAAGATACGAGTTGCTGGTACACCGAGACTTCCACCTCAGACTCCTCCGCCGCAGAGTCCTTCGTCACAAAGCCCTACGTCATAGACTCCTCCATCCCTTACCTACTCGCCAAGAAGCCCGTCGTCACCGAACATCGAACTAAACAAGCCAAAGGGTGCCATGGCGCGGCTGGCGATGCGGAAACGTATGGAAGCCATCAAAATATAAGACTCGGATGACAAAGTTCGTTGGGCAGGAGACACAGGAGGCTACGCCAGTGGAAAGAGGGATCTGGCATATGTCTGAACAGCGCTATCACGATGGAACATGTCTACTATAGGGTTTGGTTTTGGCGCGTACAGTTTATATCACCAGCTCGTTTCTAGATATGTGACATTGTTTCGAACACCAAGAGTCTCCATGACTATTCAACATTGGTGCTCAACAGACTTAGTAGCCTCTACGCCACTGACCCCAGTTCCGATACCTAGGATCGTATCCAGCATCATAATTTCCATTCCCGTATCCTCCATCACCTGGACCGTATGCCCATGGGTACGGCTCACCATAGCCGTTATTGTAGTAGTCCGGTTGGCGTGGCTGTTGCGGAGCATAGCCAGGATGTGCAGCACGCTGGTGAACTGACATATCTCTAAACCGGTCCGTCATCCGACCCACACCGCCGTTGTAGACTAAGCCACCCGCACCGCCGTAACCCTGACGCCTCCTTTCGAAATCAAGCCGGCGCTGCCTAAGGCTTGCCATTTCTTCATCGTATAATTGCGCGTCCATTAGATTTTCGCCACTGCCGTCTCCACTCATCTGCTGCTGTAATCTTCTGGCGACCTCCAGATCCCTGTCGGTATCCATTACCACCCTCAAACTTCGCTGTACATCCTTTGCCACTTGCTCATCACGACTCGTGTCCATGACAACGCGTCGTGGGATCGACACTTGTCCGTCGTAGTTCTCAAAGAAACGTGCCATGAAGACAGCCTTATCCTTTTCGGAGCGGACTTGTAAGAAGGCGAGGTGGAAGGCTTCTTGGGCTTGGACGTTGGGAAAGTCGAAGCGTAGAATGGGGCGGGAAGTGTCCCAGTTGGGGAGGATTTGAGCAGAGGTAGTTATGCGCCCAGTTGCCGGAAATGGAGATGAATTCGCTGCGACGCTCATTTTTGGAGTCCACTTGATAGTTGTGATTGCGATTTCGTTGCGGGTGTGGTTGAGTGTTGTGATATTCATCTGCAGTGCAACAGAGTAGATATAGAGAAGTGCCCATGTGATCAAGCACAAGCAGAATCTGAAACTGTGAGACAATAGTATGCGCAGCTAGGCGTCGTGAAAGGCAGGTGCAGCTGACAAGTCAGGTGAAAGCAGTGTTGGAGTCTGTACTCAATCCATGAAACGACACGCGCGACCGCTTACGCTTGAGACGTTGGAACCGCGTCTATCAATACAGCTGACTACTCGCGTTGATTCCCGGTAGTTGCTTCGAGCAAACAGTCAACCTATTGATTTGATGCCGAACGCCGTAACGATCATGAGACTACGCACAAAGGTGCCGATGCTGTTGGTGACAGCCGACACCGCTAGACTTGGCATACGTATATAAGCCTCATTGTCGTTTCTCAGATCCTCTTTTCTTTTATGAAAATGCCTTGAGAGTCTATCAAAAGTCAACGGAGCGCGCTCATGGTGTCCAGAATGTCGACCAAGTGATCTCATGTCCTTTTCTCCTGGACTTCTCCACAATTTCCAAATCCATAGTTCCATGTCTGAGTGAAACAGTCTTCTGCTAGATTCCTTCGTGTTCGAAAAAGATAGCTCCATATTCCATGGCCTTGCTCTGGAAGACTGCCGCATTCTTCACGACATCGCTAATCCCTGAAACCACGATGTGTCTATATCGAAACTTCACACTTGACAGCCATGTGGGACTGCGGGGCCACAGAATGTCGGGGGATTTATGATCTTCCTATAAATACACTGGCTTATGTATACTCCTTTTTGGAGTCCAATGCTTCGTTGAAATATCCTGGGTACAATACCTACGTAGGGACAAAACACAACACTTCTTTTGATCATGTTTCCTCGGTAATTCTAGAGAAATTTGGAGCGACTAATGATCACTGCGATCTACCATTCTGCGGTCCATCTCAAAAGCAAGAAGTAGGTCTGCCATGTTCGAAAAGAGCTGCGACAAAAAAGACTCTCGCGATTTATGATAGCCCCAAGAACGAGCGGCCTCCAAAAAGACATCTATGAGAAAGTGATTAAGGTCGTTTGTGCTGGCCCCAGTGACTGAACGCACACATAGCTACCCAGCGTGCAGACTTGGAGGGCACCATCTTTCCTTCCATATCTTCGAAAAGTTTGGTCCCGAAATCAAGAATCGGACACTGACTGACCAAGTGAGGAGCTATTCCACATAGAACGAAGTCGATGTTTCCCATGCTAGCTCGAGATTCGAGCCAAGGTCTACAGTGCATGTTCTGATGAGATTTAGTAATGTCATTCTTGTCCCCAAAAAGTACCCAGCGTCGGACTAGATTACGCGCAATCTCACGAGGCCAAATAAAGCAAGAGAGTCGGTGCCGGCGCTAGAGAAGCCATGTGATCTATCCATGATTTGATACGCTGCGATGGTGAGACTGCGTTTACTTGACTGATATAAGACGATACAACCGAAAATGACCATGCTCAAAGTGTTGTGCTCACCAGCAAAGGAACGCTTCCTTATTCGTTTCAGCGCTATGATACAGTATATGGACTTACATGACAGTCAGTCTTGGCGTATTCTTATTTTTCTACATCTAACTTCTTGGTGCTCGCCTCTTATCTGGTTTTCTCAAGCACATCCTTGGCGTATTCCACAAACGCTGGTTTCAGCGACTTGCCCGTCTTGTCCTTCGACATGTCATCCAACGACTGCATGCCCTCCGTCAGGACTTGCTCTGCCTTAGTTTCGAACTTTTGTGCCTCTTCGGCCATGGGCATTTCAGCACCCAGTACTTTGCGAGATGTCTTCAGTGCATTCCACACAATCATTGCTTCAAGGAGATCCTGGGTGTATGTTTTTATGAATGACAACTGTGTGGTAACGTTTTTGAATGAATCGGCTTTAGTACCGGACCGTAAGGACGTCATGTCGAGCCAGGCCTAGGAAGGCTTGTCAGTATTCCTTGTGTTTGTTGGAGAAGCTTTTTTTTCTGGAAACATACTGTGTAATCACTTTGCTTGAGCGCATTTACCAAACGGTTCGATAGCTTCTTGACTTGTTCCTTGTCTCCGCCATGTCGCTCGGCGAGCACAGCAGCCAGTTCGGTCGGCAGTGCAACAACAGAAGGCCTGCCCCTCCAGTCACCTTGATAAGGCTGATCCTCGCGCTTCTGGACTTTGTGGTGCTCCTCATTATCCATGAGCTCGACAATTTGCTTCGCTTGCTTGTACATCTTGGCTGTCTGTTCCTCTGCCCAGTCAGACAAGGCAGCTTTGTCGTGCACACTCCTCAATACTTGTCGCAGCACACCCAACTCGGTCAGCTTCACGCCTGTCGCCTTTGATCTTTGCAACATCTTGAGGATAAGATGATGCATGTCCGCTAGATTTAAACTTCTTACGACTAGCTCCTGCCACGCGATTTCGACCTTGATGCCCGCCTCTTCGAATCCCTCCAAGCATCTGACGACATTTTCCCAGTCCTCCTTAGTCTCGCTCTCGGCTACTATCGTCCTGAAAGTCTTAAAGCGGTTTGGCATTCTGTTCCGGTCGAGGTGTTCGAGAGGAAGAGTGACATCTCCCAGGGTGATCTCTACAGGTTCGGCTTCGAGTTTTGCGCGGGATTCTTTCGAGTAGACAAGCTTCCGTTGTTCTTTCGTCAAGTGAGAGGGAAGAAGAACCTTGGCGTTGAACTTGGAGAGGAGTTCTGATAGTTCGGGCTTAGAGGGTGGGAGGAAGTTTGGGAGAGCGCCTTATGTCCGTGTAAGTATGGTAAGCAGCGGGAGGGCGATGCAGGTATGGTACGGACCTCTGGAGCTCACCGACGTGCGAGAGAATGCGCGCCTTGAACTATTGGCGTACAGACAGACATTGTCTGACCTGAGCAAGGCCGATTGGCAGCTCCGCCGTATTGAAGACATGGTGGGATGTATGGCGACTCTCTACGTCGCATGGGCTCCGCAAAGTCCAGAAATTTGGCGCAAACGCGTCAAACGCGCCAAGCCACATCGGCCGACGGGCCTCTCAAGCCACGACTCCAGCCTCAAGGTTACACAGCCACATCGCGGTCCCCTCTTTTCCAACAAGCGAAATGTTAGCCCCAAGGAGGACCAACCGCTACAGCTGGCTCTTCCCTAAAGCAAAGAAGAACCCCAACATGGACAACGAGCAAGCGACTTTCTGGCTGAATCAGTTCATCGGCAAGAATCTACGCATACATGCCAGCGATGGACGCGTCTTTGGAGGCCAGATGAAGTGCACGGATAAGGTAGGCTATGACGTGTGTACGAGCTTGCACTGTGTTGACACGGTATAGGGCCGTAACATCATTCTTGCACTGGCACATGAGTACCGTGCGCCATCAGCCGAGACGATTCGCAAGGCGGTAGAAGAGTCGGGAAATCCATCAACATCTGTAGCTTGGAATAGTCGTTATGTTGGACTGATCGTTGTGCCCGGCCAGCACATCACCAAGATCGAGTTCGAAGAAACCACGTTCCCGGGCCAAAAGAGTGGTGTTACTCTATGAAGAAATCATATATGTCGACTATGGATCGATGATTCCAGACACGCGCACTCAATTCGAGGGGGGAGTGGGCGTAGTCTGGAAGGCCCCACGGCTGGAGCGCTCATTTACTTGGGCGCAAGGTATGTGCGAAGCATGTTAAGACCAATCATACTGTAAACATTGCACTCAAGCGCTGTAATAGGGTCCCAGCTGATGATAGTAGGCCGAGAAAATAGCTGAAGCGAAGGTAGACGTGCCCTCACTTTCTGGTAGCGAACAGTCATCCATGGTGCTATTGTGCAATTCGCAACAGTAGCAAATATGGCCGTGTCATTTGATGATTATAACTCTGTCGTGGGCCAAAATATATATTTTGGTATCAACGCCTGAAGCCTCCACCAGTTCTTTCTAATCTCAAACCTCACACATATCACTGGATACATCAGCCACCATCAAAAGCGCAGCCATTTACACACTATCACCTCCTGTATCATGGATACCTCATGCTACAATCCGACGTTGCAGACCCCGCGTGCTTCAACTCTGTCCAAAGAGCCACAGATCTCTACAAAACCTGGCCAGGCAGAAAGCTTCGAACCTTCAAGAACCACGAAGTTTCTCTTCAGAAAGTCTTTGAAGACTTTCAGATCCTACAAACGGCCACGAAAGACCCACACCAAAATCCTCGGTCCCCTATCCTCCCATACCACACTAGCGGCCCATCAGGCTGCAATCGCAGCATCGCCCCTACTTTGTCTCCCAGGTGAAATCCGCAACATGATCTATGCGTACGCCCTCACTTCCGAGAAAAGACTCCTGGCCTACGATGTCCAGTATGGTAGATTCGACATTTCTGGAATTGGTGCTGGATTGCTGCAAACCTGCCATATGGTTTCGCGCGAAACAATATATTTGCCTTTATTGCTGAACACCCTTGTGTTTAGCTCGCCAACAGGAAGCGGGGAGAACGAAGAAAGAATGTTGAGGTGCATAGGAAAGGTCATCAAGTTATGGCGAGAGATTGGATTGAAGGGTGGAGCGGACATCAAATTTCTTTCTCAGAAGGAGATAGTGTTGACCTATTCAAAGTGACACTCTAAGCATGCTCGATTCTGGCTCGAAACATAAACATGTGGTACGACCAACGCGCCCAACATACCTCTTATACTAAATCTGCCTCAATAACGCTCTCCACCGCCCTTGGATGCCGACTTATATCTACAATGCTGAACCCGGCTTCCTTCAACAATCTCGCCCAATGCTCCTCTGTCCTCTCCATTCCACTTGTGCAGTTCATGAGCTGCAAATCCAACGTCGTCATCAAGTTCGTGGCTCCCTTCTTCGGCAACACAACCTCGTATATCAGGAGCTTGGAGTATCCGCGCTTGAACACAGCGGCCACTTGCGAGAACATGCGAACGCAGTCCGCGTCAGGCCAGTCGTGGGGTACGGCATGGAAGAAGTAAGCGCGCGCGTGCTTTTGGGGTTGAGGCGTGAAGAAGTCGTAGGCTTGTTTCACTATCCTCTTATCCAAGTCTTCAATGGGCATTGCGACGACTTCGGGAGTATCTTGCAGGACCAGAACGTTGGCAGGCAGGTTTGGATGCTTGTCGAGGAGACGCGAAGTATCGAGACCGTGCGCGCCGCCAATGTCCACAAACAAAGGTTTTCCAGTCTGGACATCAGCACCATCGACGATGCGGTTCGTATCGTACACATCTGTCCAGCTCATCTTATGGTTCCGCAGCGCGGTCATCAGACCCATGAAGCTACTTCCCTTGCCCACCGGGTCAGCGGCGCAAGTAGCAAAGAAGTCTTTTCCGCCTGTCATGTCGCGATAGTTGTCGAGTTTGGCCAGGTCGACTGGTTCGACATAATTGTATTTCTTGAGGAAATACGGGAGGTTGACGCCTGTGGGAACGGTATGATCGGTGCTGGAGATTGCGTTAACGGATCACTACGGAATCTGATTGAGGATGGTTTCACGTACCCGCATTGTGTGATTTGGTCGGTATGCGATACCGTGTCGCCAAGAGATAGCGAGTACGGTGTAGGCCTCCAGGTATCAACATCTGTCTCTTCTAATACGTATAGCGCAGCGATGTGTCTCAAAAACCTTCCTACAAACCACAATATCAGCACTATAATCCTTACTTCTAATGGCATCTATACTCACGCAACAGATTTGGCTCAGCCTTCGCGTTGGCCCATTTTAGCAGCTGATCCAGATGCACTGGTGCACCAGGGTTCTTTTTATCCGCCTCCGTCCATTGCTTCCAGATGCCGAGGTCAAGGATGGTCTGTATACCGGCGATGAGCACTGGCGTCTCAAAAGACAGCCTCCAGCCTTGCTCAAATGGCGTTTCGAGGCGGTTCAGAAGGCGGCGCGCTGCTTCTTTAGCTTCGTAGCGCTCAGCGTCTGTAGAGAACTGTGAGGGCTGTAAGGATTCCAGGTCTGTGATTGTGTCTTGGAAAGATGGCATATTGAAAATTTCTAATGAGTCTTGATTTGGTAGAGAGCGATGAGCCGGATAGTGTGGTGTACTTATCAGTTCCTGGCATGATTCGTGCTTCCGTATTGTTGACTACATATTCGCGAATTCACGACTCTCTAGTTCCGCTTCTTACGGACCCTGGTCATCCCACGGTTTATCGCCTACCGCGAACGGCAATAAGGTCTTGGCAGATGTGGGGTCGATCAGGGAGTTGATCCTTAGTGTACGTTGACATGTGTCCATGACTCTGCTGAAAAGACTGTTATTGCTGGGGTGGTCTTATCATGCAGGTCGTCAGATGAGCGGCTCAAGTGTATGCTTTGAGTTATTATTGGTGTCTAGCGACCCCTAATCGACAAGGACTATATCTGAGCAACAAGAGTAGTGAGTTACATCTGCAGTGATGTGCGATATGGAAGGTAAGCTGTATGTGACCAAATGCTAGGCGGACGCCTCAAGCAATCCCTCTCCTCCGCGGAAGGAGTCCAAATGCCGGAGAACAGCGCCAATCAGCGGGACGTTACGACAGCTTCAGGGGCTATGGATATTTTCCCGCATCCCTTCAAGCCATACGTCCGGGGTCACCATCTTGACTTGCTCCTCGCGCTGAACATCTCCACTGCGAAGGTACTGGAGATAGCATTGGATCTTTGAACAGTTCCGATGTGCTCTCTTTGCTGCTTGTCTCAAAGTCCGTCATCTTTGTCTCGATATCCGTCATCTTGTATATCTCAAAGCCGGTCTTTTTCTTCTTTCCCAATGTACTGGTGTTTGTCCGCGACCGATGGGAATCCTTGGATACGTAGCCGCTCGAAGAGTGTCTTGTTGCCCATGTTTCTGCTCGAAAGAGGCTGTTGATGACAGGTGCATTCACTGCAAATATAGACACGATCTATTGCACACAATCAGATCCCGATATTATGGCTTGTGGGTGAGTGTTAGACTTACGGCTTCGCGTTGTGCCCACACTGAAGAGAGAGCAACTTGGACGGAGGTGCCGATCGACAAAATGCAGCGTGCAATAGCCATGCCCATAACGAAGAGACCGAGAGACAGAAGGAAGATGACTCGAATTTTGCTTTGAATATGTATCAGCTTTGGCTCCTCTTATATAGGAAATGAACTCACCGCCACAGACTGATCTTTGCATCTTTCAGCATCCATAAAGGAACAACGAGCAGCAAAGCATCCACCCTATATCATGCGTTAGCTGAATATCACTGAAGTATGAGGAGATACCCACAAGACGTTCCCGACAGCAATCACAATATTAATCACAATGCCAGCTGAGCATTCTTTGCCTGGATCAGGAAGAATTTGCCAATTTCTCTTCAAAGGCAGGCAGTGTGTGGTTTGAGTGATGATGGCGGCTATGCAGGCAGCAATTGAGATAGCGCCTACGGCTTGAACATAATGGTAGAGTCTAGTACTTCTCCTGTGCGTGGAAGTCAGTATTGATCTTGTGGAGCATCATGGACTGCACTTACGTCAAACGGAGAAAGAGAATGATGAGCGAGCCTTTTAGACTCCAAACTAAGAAGATCAAGAAGTAGAACGAGGCAAACATGCCCTTTGCACCCTCTCGCATCGACTTTCGCATCGCTGGTGGGAGTGCTTCACGCTGCTCTTGGGTCATGGCTATAGGTGCACCCATTATACCTGAATATCGTCAGTCAAACGGCCAGATCTCGAACTCACTGCTATGTTCGACTTACTGAGATACTCCACCATAACGTAGATGAGAGTGAAGAATACCCACGACCAGAATGCAAAGAAGTCATCCCAGTAAAAGCCTCGCCATCCCAATGTCTTCCATCTCGTGAAGAATCTTGCAGCTATGATGACACTTCCAAGGGCGTATTCAACGCGACACTCAATGAGCGTTGCATTAGGGTCAGACATCTTCGTAGTTCGATGCAGAAGACAGTGGATAGGTTGATGCGCTAGACAGCGTTCACGAGGTAAATTGTGCTATATGAAGCATTCGTTCTCTGAACAGTCTGTGGTACAGGAGTACGCATGGCATCGCATGCTCAATGCTTCGTACTCTCGATTCGGAAAAAGAAAGGACGATGAAAACTGGGGGAAGGATTCCATATGACAGGGATCGGACTGATGGTAGGAGAACTGATGGGAGCCTCATGATCAGGCAGCTTGTTCTTCACGGACCCAAATCTGGTTCATTACATGTCGATGATAATCTTTAGGGGAAAAGATGGTCATCACGGAGGCTTCAATCACCTAAACCATGAATCTCTCATCCTTGCTCTTGCTTGATTCGCTTGAGGATGCATAACGCGGCGAACAGTCGTGGGATGCGGATAATATCTCGCTGAGACGGTCAAATCTTGACTCAAGTGGCGTGAGCCATGAGATACGGCAGTCAGGAAAAGGTACGGCTCCGGTTGAGGCGCGCAATCTTGGCGCAAACACGGTTGGCCCAGTCGTCTGGTACCTCGCTTGCAACTTTTCAACGCCCATCCAGATGCATCGGTGTTAGCCTCATGTTAAGGAGCGGCCCATCCCAGCTTCTGCCGAGAGACCGCGTTTCGAACAGCCTTTTCTGTGCATGATTGTCATGTTCGCTTGCAAATGCCGGTGTGCGGTGAACCTGCGCTATCCTCCGCGTACCTGTCGAACATCTGAACGTCCGCGCCACATTGCCGAAGGAAGTGCTGCATGTGGAGCGGGCTCTTCCGTCAAAACAAGATCGTCAACATCGACGCGAGTTTTCATCTGCACCTCGTACAGGTGTGCGTAGAAGTCGTATTTGTAGCTCTGCAGAGAAGTTGATCGCTCAATGTCAACCCGAATGAGAATGGAACGTGTTTCGGCGTTGCATCTTGGCCCAATCCTTCAGCGGCACCGCACCCTTGAACGCTCAAGGAGCCATTTCGGTGAAATGGCGCCGCAGCACTGGGTCAAAGTAATCACGTGTGGCATGACGAGTATTTGCAAGGGTGTAATTGTAACGGCTGAGCGATGACGATGGAATGTCCACTGAACGTCGCGAACGTCGGCTCGTTAGCTTGCCTCGCGGAACCGGGTATCAACGGCCATATCCCCGCTCCCGTTCTTACCACACATCTTACGATCCCAGCGCGTAAAGAGCTTTGTGAGCATGAACGGAAGCATGCGCTCACACAACTCAATTGCAAACAATCTTTCTGGTACAACCGTGTTGATTACCGGGGCCTCTTCCGGAATCGGTCGCAGTACTGCACTCGAATTCGCTCGTTCATCACCACAAAATCTGAAGCTTATTGTTACAGCGCGAAGGGTCAGCCGACTTTATGAACTCGCCACAGAGATAAAAAATGAAATTGGCGATGGCGTAAAAGTTTTCGTGATGGAACTTGATGTCTCAAGACCGGAAGAGATCGAGGCGATGTTTGGAGAGCAAGGACTACCAGACGAGTTCCGCGACGTGGATGTGCTGGTCAACAATGCGTGTGTATTCCATTAGAACGTTCACTTCATTCGTTGACGACCACGAAAAGAGGCTTCATGTCAGGCGTCGAACAAGCACCTGACATACCGACACACGTAATTCAGGATGTATGGGCAACGAATGTGCAAGGTGTGATCAACATGACGCAAGCAGTGATGAAGATATTCAAGAGGCGGCCAGACGGCGGCAAGGGTGATATTGTGATGTTAGGAAGTATTGCTGGGCGAGAGGCTTATGTTGGTGGATCGGTGCGTGGCCTTTCTGACAGATCATCTGTCTTGAACTCGCACTGATTATGGACTAAGAATCATGCAGATATACTGCGCTAGTAAGGCAGCGGTTCGGGCATTCACTGATGCTTTGAGGAAAGAGTCGATCAGCACACGTATCCGAATCATCACAGTAGATCCCGGGCAAGTCTTGACAGTAAGTATCGCAATTTTATGCCCACTCTCGCTGACATGGTACACACAGGAGTTCAACGACATCCGGCATCGCTTTGACAAAGAGAAAGCAGATAAGGTTTATGCGTATGATCTTCACAACTTGTCTTACGACCCGGAGAGGCTTGCTGACAGACATCTAGCGGTTGCGATCCGCTCACTCCAGATGACGTTGCTGAACTCATAGTATTTGCATCCAGTAGACGGGAGAATGTCGTCGTTGCAGATATGCTTGTGTTCCCGAATCACCAGGTAATAGATCTGGTCAACTGAAAGGTTGCGCAGGAGAGCTAATCATGCCCTAGGCTTCCGCAATACACGTCCACAGACACGTATGAGAGTGGGGCTCAGCTCTTCAGCTCTTTCGATGTGGGTAAGGCCCACGGCGATGGATTCGAGAGCGACTATCACGAGCATGGAGGGCAACTGTTATACTGAGCATGGCAGGATGTGGAATCTTTCGCAAGAATTTGGGTCTGGAAAACTATCTAGTCCAGCTTCACATGATCGCGACGAAGCATAAGGCGGGACTAATTCTCATTTGCACAGCATTGGTGAAAGCTCAGCCCGGGCTGGACAAGACGCGCTACAGCCGATCCGGTCTAGCACGTCGCGTCTTGACGCGTTCTCAGTGATGTACATGATGACGTTTATACCGCAGCCCGTTTCATCTCACATATCCCATCAGCCATGACATGTAAAAGGACTAGAAGCGATCTGGGGAATCTTGGTGGTATCAAGCCTCATATCTAGGTGCGAATCATTAGCTTTGAGGCGACGCGTGTTTCTAGCAAACGGACTGCCCACATGTCCAGCAACCCTCCGTCAATGCGGGGAACATCCGGAACTCGAGCTTAAGAGTAGACGTTGTTCCATATCAACCCCCCATCTCGATGTCTTCGTCTACCACCACATTATCGTTGCCCTTCGCTTCACTCACAGGCTGAGAGGGCGTTAGAGGCTTGATTTGAAGAAGCAAGCACTCTTTACTTCAAAGGTGAAAATACGAAGTCAGTATATATTTTGCATGCACTCTGCACAATCGTAACTTACCCTGCTTTCTGGCGGCACATTTCGCATTTTTCTCCGTACCACATGGGTTCCGGAAGCTCTTCGCCAGTCGAGATCATTCGGACGTAGCCCCTTTCACTTGCCAATGTTTCATTGACATATTTACATCCGTCATTGGAGCATCGCCATACGAAGAGCTTAATAAGTGGGTTGATACGAGGCTTAGCCTTGGTCGGTGTAGGGAAGTATCGGGACATGCTGGACGCAGCTATACTTTTCTGTGGCAAGTAAGAGATGGGTCCTCGTGCGACGGGTGGACGGTAAGATAGAGCTGTGTTCTTTGTGGTTACGTCCGTGTGGCTATAGCTGATGGCGTAGAGGGCGCAGTTGAATCTTCAGAAGAAAGGGGGTTCGACGATGCAGGTGAGAGTGAGCTGAAAGAGTAGGCACATATTGCCATTGTTCGTACCACGACAGCGTAGTGAATGAGGAACAATCGTCACTGTATTTCTGACTAACCGTTGACACGTTCCAAAGCTGGAAGACTCACGCATTTCCCAGAAACTGTCTACACTAACGTACACGTCGCGACCCGTACGTCTGTGCGGCAACCGAGAGCAAACGCATGTATAACCATAAGTTCAGTGTTTTCCAATGCGCAAAAGAACCGAGATCTTCACATACAGTCTCTCTCTGACAACCACAAAGGATGTCGGACAACAACGCCAACGGAGAGATGGATGCCAGTGAACTGGGCAATAATCAGTTCAAGATGCGACAGTTCACGAAAGGTAGATGGACCCCCTCAACCCTCCACGAATGACACTAATGGCTCTTGAGCAATCGCATCTTATCAGAAAGCTGCTGCTCTAAACCCAGATGATTATCGTCCCTTACTGAACATCTCTGCCGTCCACTACGAGCTCGACAACTACACCAAAGTGATCAAGGACGTACGCCAAGCACTCTCCCTGATACCAGTAGCCAACAATGGCGCAATCTCAAAGGCGCCTTTGCGTGCATCCAAAGAACAAATTCATCTCAAGCAGTATAACCAAGCGCACGAGCTCGTGGAGAGGTTGGGCGAGTCGACTTCGAAGGCCGAGATAGAACGATGTGTTACGCTAGGTCAAGAGTCTGAGGCAGCAAAAGCAGTCGGATCGGGTGTCAGGGGTCTATCACACTACAAGCCCGCCATTGCCATTGCGCCTGGTTACTTCAACATCGGCAACGACGAAGCTATGCCGCTATTTGATCATCTGCTCATATCGAATACGTCGGCTTCCGAGACCATCAATTACTTCCCCGGAGGCATTGGCGATGCTAGACAGCTTTTTCAGACGATCCGGATGATCTGGGCTATCGAGAGCGAGAGCATCAACAAAGGTCGGGTGCTGGACCGATGGGCGGAGATGAAGAAGTGCAATTACCATTTCACTGTGAACGACATCAATGGCTGCGCATTAGCTCGTCATCTCCTTGTTTTACTTCTACTCGAAGAAATCGCAGATGCTGTTGGCACCACAGCGCCGGACCAAGTCAAGAAGCCTCCTGTCGCCTTGGTCACACTATTCTTCCTGTATGCCGGCTACGCCATGTCCGCTCCGAACTATGAATACCTACAACAGACAACCAGTCGTGCCCTTCATGTTTTGGCCGGAGATACAACACTGCCAGGCTTTCTGTTTGTGTACGAATACGGGCGCGAGTCAATAATCACTGCTCTTCAACAATGGCAGAAAGCAACGGCTGATGCCTTTCCTGCCCATAATCTTGTCTCCCAAGTCAAGGCTACTATACAGCGTTGGAAGGAAAAGGGTCAGAAGACTGAAGTCGCGGGTATGGCTTCAGGCGGATGCCACGAAGAGCTTCAGTATTGGATCGTTTCCGGTTTGTTTTTACCACCTGATGACGAGATACCGCGCACCCTCAGAAAGCTTCTCAAGATGCTCATACGTGGCCAGAGTGCGATGAACCTGAAGCACTACATCGAACAGAACTGGAAGCCCAACGTAACGCTTGCAGATATGACCAACTTGAACGAAATAAAACAAGACGTTTTCGCGGTTCACAATCCGTTCCGGCTCGCTAGCATGCCATACGCATGCACAAACATTGGCAAGGACCCGGAAACCCCTCAAAACTTATACGACTACCTAGCACCGTTCTTTATTCATACCGCGCAGGCATTGCGCGGTCTAGCTGGTCGCCTACATGTCGAAATGATGACAGGTGACGTAACAGTGGCACTCGGAAGAATCACGAAGCAGGATGTCAAAGATCGACCCAAGCACTTTCCTCAGCGCTACGGTCGTATACATCTCAGTAATATTCCAGACTATGTGGGTGGATCACTGTTTACTTATATTCACGTCCTGCCACTGCTGAAGGATAAGCCATCTGCTTTTGCTCTGGCAAACAATTGCCGTAACGAGGCTGCATTTCCTTCGGTAGAAGTGTTCAACAGCAAGTATACTACGGTTCATGCGGGCACCGGAACCAGTGATATAGCTACAGGATAGCCCGCTCTGTGCCCGACCAACCTTCTTCAATGTCGTTCTCTAAGGCGGCAGAGAGCTAGGGGTTGAGGGTTCCGATTAGTAAAAGCACTTTTGCATGGAAATCGTTCACACCAGTTGTAGAATTGACGCGCGGCTGCTGACCGAGATCGGCATGCCATTGCACCGCCATACGAGGGTAGTCCTCACAGATGCGCGTGACGAGATGTAAATCACTGAAGTAGCTTGGGTTGTCCGAACACCCTTTCGCCAGATGGCTATCTCGCGCCAACAAAGTGACGCATCGGAGTCGCTGTCGCCAGGCTTCACAGCACATATTCAAGAAGCCTACGAGCTGTGCTGCTGGTGATCTGTCGACGAACCAGCCTCACCGGTCTTCATGAGACAGGAAGATGAAGCCATTAAGCTGCCATTCCAGTCCGAGAGTCTCCGAGCGAAGCTGCCGACACATGTACTGGAGCTCATCTGTTTCCTGCGGTTGACGCGAACTTGTACTGAAGTATGCTTTGTAGTCACTTTTGCGGTGGAAATAAAGACAGCCCCCTGATGGAGCGCATAGGCGTAGATCTGGTCGCGCAGTTCCCGGGACAATCGGAGAAGATCGACGCTGCTGTTCGCCTTAACGATAGAATAAACCGAAAAGGCCGAAGGACGAAACGCGTACGAGGTATGAGTAAACAGTTCGTTACTCAACAATAGCGCGGTGCAAGAGTCCCAGTATTAATCAGGCCATGGGTTGCATGAGCCACACTAGTGAGCACTGACTGATGGCTTACGAGCGTAACTCGCCTGCAATATTCCGTCCTGTCGAGAGCGCAGCAAGGAGATCAGACATGTGGGACTGATCACTAGCAGCAAAAAAGAACGTCGGTGTTGCAACCGCTGGGGAGGTATCAGGCTGTCTGGCCCCTTTCCTCACCACCACGCCAGCTTACCACCACCACTACCACAACAGACCTCCAGAACCACAAAAAGAATAGCTAAAGCTGCTCGTTGCATCGGCCGGGAATCGAACCCGGGGCTAGCCGAAACTGTCCTGTGAAGGATGGCAACGGCTAATTTTACCACTAAACCACCGATGCTGAAGAGTCGAGGTGAGATGTTGATTCACGTGATTCGATGGAAGAAACAAAAAATTATGAATATATATCTGTAATATTATTTTGAAAATTCGCTGAGCTGGGTGTACAGCCTGCTTTGCTAGGGGTGTGTCCATAGGGTAAGTCGATCAAATTTGCTCGCTTAGAAGCATGTCGCATCTGGCTTTACCATGAAAAGGTTAGTGGCATCTTGACCACTTCCATTGTAGTAGGGCCTACCGCTCACTCATGTACTACATCACGACCTGCTTGAAGCTTTGCTTATACAATAGCAGGCTGAACGGAGAAGGCGGATAAATTGACAATGCCCCAGTTGTGAGCGCGCATCGAGGACATCGCCATTCTCTTACTGGTAGAAACCCTGTCACCCTTTGAGTGTTCTGCATATGGAGGAATGCACAGGCTGCTTGTAATGCAAGAGATTGAGCTAGAAATCAGACTTTGATCCTGATAATCCCAATGCCATGGTAAGCATGCTCTACATCGCATGAAGGTCTTGTCATGATCAAATAAGATTGGGGATGTAGGGCAGTTACCCTGGACATCACCCCCTGAAGCGTTCAGTAAGCTCGTCACGTGCGGTGGGATCATCGCCGTTGAAGAGTAATCGAAATTCCCGAATGCGCTCCAGCGATGAAGTGCAAGGCGGGACGGGACGGGGCATTCATTGGCATCCGGCATCCGATCCGCTAGTCAAGTGATGACGTCCTCACACATATTCGAAAGACATGCAGTTGCTGACCGGTCTATAGGACCTCTGTTGTGCATGTACTGAACCTTGCAGCAATGCTTTGTGAGTCACAACAGTTATGGCTGCGAATCTAGAGCGCATGAAATGAAACGTGCACTCCCAAATTTGGTGCATCTAATTCGGCGCTAGGAAACCTTGGCGTACCACTCCTCAGATTCACGGAGGCCGCGGGTCCCATTTGTACGATCTGCGCGACCTTTCCGCAGCGTTATCAATCAACACCAGAATACCTCTACACGTAAGCTTTGGCTGACTGTCGTCATCGGCGTTCGGTCTTTGTTGCGCGAACGTGCGAATTATTTCGTGCTTCGACCTCTTATGACGCTTCATTCGGTACTTGGGCGTACGCTGTAATCGGGCCTTGCCAATCGGTACAACCTTTCGTCCGCGTGGTTGTACAAACAAGGTACAGTAGGATGTACGAAAGTAAACATGTCGCGCTGAAACGGTTCGTATCTGTAACGAGGCAGAGGGGCAATCTATAGGGTGTGGGTACGGGGTTCGCACAACAAGTCGGCGTCTGAAAGTGCGAACAGCGAGCGTTAAAGAATGTGCCTACAACTGGCATGGAACCTCCACATTCCGATGGTTACAAGGCTATCTTTACGACTAGATGAAACCACGTGGAGAGCCTCTCCGACACGCTGGGATCTGGTTTTGATCGTTTTCAAAGTCTTGGGTCGCTGTTCGGTGCTTCGCGCGCTCGGCCGAGCCCGAGTTGACCCTCAAGCTCTCTACTAAGAAACGCTATCAGCAGCAATTTCAATTCCGCCCCGCTGTAACCTGCGCCCAGTAACGGGAGACAGGGACGCTATCTGTGGCTGACCCTGGATCTAGCATCAGAGCAGTCTAGACAAATCCGAATTTGCTCTTGCTGCTGGGGTGAATACATGTGCCAATCATACCAGCCAAAGTTTGGCCGTATGCAGGTGTACCGCTATGGTCGGTCCCCGTGGCTTCCTTGTCTGGAGTAAGTCCCTGCTTCGTCCGGTATCAACGGTTGAAGCAGTGACTACACACAATTCCGCCTGGCGACGTCAGCAAAGTCGGAGCCGCTGATGTGAACGCCCGAGTCTCCCTAGACTCTTCTGGACGATCGGTATCCACAACAGTTTCCCATAGGCTCCTTTATATGAAAACGACCCCGATATTGATTCCAGTAGTGTTTGTCCAGACCAGTCACCTCCAAACTCCAAAATAAATTCTTTAATACCTAATTGTCGATTCACATACGGAGTATAGTTCTGGCCTAACCGTGGAATAAACATCAAGATGGAGCGAAGGAGGAGCAGTGCTTATAACATACCCGCCGGCGCTGGCGAGGAGATCATGCGAACAATATCCCGTACATTCTCCGGCAAATCACGACACGACGATGATATCGAGCGAGAGCGGGAAGAAGACATCACAGACAGCGATTCCGCCAAGACGAAGGTGGAAGAGTGGAGGCTTGCAAACGATGTAAAGAACATTCAACAAAACGACCCTACTGAGGGACGAAGACTAGGAGTTACATGGAGTGGACTATCCGTCAAGGTGGTTCCTTCAGACGCACGTTTGCAAGAGAACGTGCTCAGTCAGTTCAACATCCCGCAACAGATTAGGGAGTCACGACAGAAGCCCGAGTTGAAGACAATCCTCGACAACAGCTTTGGTAGCGTGCAGCCTGGCGAGATGCTGCTGGTCCTAGGAAGGCCTGGTTCTGGATGTACCACTCTACTAAAGATGCTTGCCAACAAGCGAAAAGGCTACGCACAAATCGATGGCGATGTACACTTCGGTTCCATGGACGCCAAAGAGGCTCTGAAATACCGTGGCAACATTGTTATCAACACCGAGGAGGAGCTGTTCTTCCCTACCCTCACAGTAGGCAAGACTATGGACTTTGCTACAAAACTCAACATCCCGCGCACTTTACCAAAGGATTCTGCAAACCCCGAGGAGTATCGCCAGAAGTTCAAGTCATTCTTGATGGACTCCATGGGCATCTCTCACACCGAAGATACCAAGGTTGGCGATGCCTTCGTTCGCGGTGTCTCCGGTGGAGAGCGCAAACGAGTCTCTATCATCGAGACTCTGGCCAACCGCGCTAGCGTAGCCTGCTGGGACAACTCCACACGTGGTCTAGATGCCAGCACAGCTCTGGAGTACACTCGTGCTCTCAGGTGTCTAACAGATGCGATGGGCATCGCTACGATTGTTACGTTGTACCAGGCAGGTAACGGCATCTACGACCTTTTCGACAAAGTCCTTGTGCTGGACGAAGGCAAGCAAGTTTTCTACGGCACTCGCGAACAAGCTCGCCCTTTCATGGAGGAGCAAGGCTTTGTATGCAGTGAGGGTGCCAACGTGGCCGATTTCTTGACCGGTGTCACGGTGCCTTCTGAGCGACAGATCCGTCCCGGATTCGAAGGCTTCCCACGCAACAACATCGAGCTGGAGCAAGCTTATCAACGGTCTTCCATCAAGGCTGCCATGGAGCAGGAACTGTCATATCCTACGAGCGAAGCGGCAAAGACCAACACCAAGCTGTTCATCGAAGCCATGGCGATAGACAAGTCCAAGCACCTCCCAGCATCATCACCTATGACTGTGTCATTCTACGACCAGGTGAAGGCTTGCGTGGCTCGACAATATCAAATCCTCTGGGGTGACAAAGCGACGTTCATCATCAAGCAAGGTTCAACGCTCTTCCAAGCACTTGTAAGTTTCTGCCTATGTCTTCGCGCTCGACTCTTACTGATTTTCACCTTGTAGATTGCCGGATCCCTCTTTTACAACGCTCCCGCAAACTCGTCCGGACTGTTTGTCAAGGGAGGAGCTCTCTTCTTGGCTCTGCTGTTCAACGCGCTGTTGGCCATGTCGGAAGTTACGGACTCCTTCTTCGGCCGCCCCATCCTCGCAAAACACAAGAACTTTGCCTTTTACAACCCCGCAGCTTTCTGTATTGCGCAGATCGCAGCTGATGTGCCGATTCTACTCTTCCAGGTATCCATGTTCATGATTGTACTGTACTGGATGGTGGCTCTGAAGGCTACAGCTGCTGCTTTCTTCACTGCTTGGTAAGTAACGGATGATCTTGCTCCATCGATGCTATATACTAACATAATTTCACAGGTTCGTCGTATATGTTGTCACCTTCGTCATGACTGCGTTCTTCCGCATGGTTGGTGCCGCCTTCCCCAACTTCGACGCTGCCTCCAAGGTCTCTGGTTTCTCGATTACAGCTCTCATTCTATACATCGGCTACCAGATTCCGAAACCCAACATGCATCCATGGTTCGTCTGGATTTACTGGATTGACCCGCTCTCCTATGGATTTGAATCTTTGATGGCGAACGAGTTCTCCGGACAAGACATTCCCTGTGTCAATGCCAACCTGATTCCGAACTTCCTCCCTCAGTACCAGAACGGTGTCAACCAAGCCTGCGCAGGTGTTGCTGGCGCTAGGCCTGGTGCTACCTCGGTTAGTGGTGATGATTACCTCAGAAGCCTCTCCTACTCGAAGGGACACATCTGGCGAAATGTTGGAATCTTGTTTGCCTGGTGGTTCCTCTTCGTTGGTCTCACAATTTTCTTTACACTTCGATGGGACGACGCAGCCGGCTCTGGAGGATCTCTCCTGATCCCTCGTGAGAACAAGAAGAAGGTCCCCCGCTCTATCACACCCGGTGATGTAGAAGCTCAAGGAAACGAGAAAGCGCCCAGGACAGACGGCAGCAACGAGAAAGCCACTGAAACCCAAGACTTGAGTGCCAACCTTATGCGCAACACTTCCGTCTTCACCTGGCGCAACCTTTCGTATGTTGTCAAGACCCCATCTGGCGACCGCACACTGTTGGACAATGTTCATGGTTACGTCAAGCCCGGTATGTTGGGAGCTTTGATGGGTTCATCTGGTGCTGGAAAGACCACTCTTCTTGATGTCCTTGCCCAACGCAAGACTGACGGTACCATTCATGGAGAGATCTTGGTAGATGGCCGACCACTCCCGGTTTCATTCCAACGTTCTGCCGGTTACTGCGAGCAACTCGATGTTCACGAGCCTTTTGCGACTGTCCGAGAAGCGCTTGAGTTTTCTGCCCTACTTCGTCAAAGCCGTGACACTCCCCGTGAGGAGAAACTTGCCTATGTCGACACTATCATCGATTTGCTTGAACTACACGACTTGGAACATACTTTGATTGGTCGTGTTGGAGCAGGTTTGTCAGTCGAGCAGCGCAAGCGCGTCACTATTGGTGTTGAGCTTGTTTCGAAGCCTTCCATCTTGATCTTCCTCGATGAGCCTACTTGTAAGTCCACGTAATCACACTCTCAGTACACCACTAACATTTTCTAGCTGGATTGGACGGTCAAGCCGCTTTCAACACTGTTCGTTTCCTTCGCAAGCTCGCCGACGTTGGTCAAGCCGTCTTGGTCACCATCCATCAACCTTCCGCCCTTCTGTTCGCTCAGTTCGATACTCTTCTGCTTCTCGCAAAGGGTGGCAAGACTGTCTACTTCGGTGACATCGGTGACAACGCAGCGACTATCAAGGAGTACTTCGGTCGATACGACGCTCCCTGCCCTCCCAATGCCAACCCTGCAGAGCACATGATCGACGTGGTAACTGGCACGCACGGAAAAGACTGGCATCAAGTCTGGCTTGACTCACCTGAAGCGGCTCGCATGCACCAGGACCTCGACCACATCATCACTGACGCTGCTGGCAAAGAGCCCGGAACCACGGATGATGGCCATGAGTTCGCCATGGATCTCTGGACTCAGACCAAGATTGTTACACACAGGGCGAACGTGAGCATGTACCGCAACATCGACTACGTTAACAACAAGTTTGCCCTCCACATTGGTACCGCGCTGTTCATCGGTTTCAGTTTCTGGAAGATTGGCGACACTGTAGCTGATCAGCAGCTCGTCCTCTTTGCTCTTTTCAACTACATCTTCGTCGCACCAGGTGTTATTGCTCAACTGCAACCTCTCTTCATCGACCGTCGCGACATCTACGAAACACGTGAGAAGAAGTCGAAGATGTACTCCTGGATCGCTTTCGTCACCGGTCTTGTCGTCTCTGAGATCCCGTACCTCATCATTTGCGCCATCCTCTACTACCTCTGCTTCTACTACACTGCCGGTCTTCCCACCGATTCCAACAAGGCAGGTGCGGTGTTCTTCGTCATGCTGGTCTACCAGTTCATCTACACTGGTATCGGTCAGTTCGTTGCAGCCTACGCACCCAACGCTGTCTTTGCTTCGCTTGTCAACCCGCTCATCATCGGAGTGCTCGTCTCATTCTGTGGTGTCCTTGTGCCATATGCGCAAATCCAAGAATTCTGGCGCTACTGGATGTAAGTACCCCCAAATTACCATGAACCTAGCGAGCAACCCTACTAACACTGTTCCAGTTATTACCTCAACCCATTCAATTATCTGATGGGCGCGCTGCTCGTCTTCGCCGATTGGGAATGGGATGTCAATTGCTCCGAGTCAGAGTTCGCCATGTTCGATCCCCCATCTGGTCAAACATGCAGTGACTACCTGCAAGCGTGGATGGCAGGCCCGGGAAGCCGCACAAACCTAGTCAACCCTGATGCTACCTCAGACTGCAGAGTCTGCCAATACACCAAGGGAAGCGACTACCTGTACACGGTAAACCTCAACGACTACTACTACGGATGGAGGAATGCGGCCATCTGCGTCATCTTCGCTCTCTCGAGTTACGCGCTGGTGTACGGTCTCATGAAGTTGAGAACCAAGGCTAGCAAGAAGGCGGAGTAGATTGCGCGGTAGAGTGGTACCGTTGGTAGTATCGTTATCTTATTTCATTCATCAAATGTTGTCTTTTTCCCGTCTTGGTTGCATCTTGAATATTTTGGTCATCTGTAAATATGTCGACCATTTGTCTTTGTACTGTCTGCATCTAGAAAGTTCTCTTCTCCGACCACTATAGACCTTCTCTGGGCTCAGCGCGTAGTCTTGGAGTTGGGGGTCAAATTTAGTCTGTAAATATATTGTAATACTTGCAAACACGTTTGCTGAGCCCAACTGTGATTCTGACATGACGACTGAGATGATGACACAAGTCTAGTGTCTTCGCGATGTTTTTATGCCTCCAATGTCGACCTTTGTGGCGGGACAAGGTCGTAGCAGCAAGCGCAAGTAGGTACCAGAAAATGGGTGCTCAGTGCAATTGGATAGCCACAAACAAACGACGTGCAGGCAGATTTAGATACATAATACTTTAGTTGGAGAAGATTTGACATGAATGGCAATTCTCACATACCCTATTGCCGGGCACTCCCAACCACGTGCACCGCGACTACGCTAGTGAGTGAGACTCCACCACACGCGTCCCACCTATAGCCGACAAGTCGCGTTTTTCGGCAACCTCACTTACCGCGTTTTGATTGCACACCACAATACTCAATTGCTCATCGTGAGGTGCGCGAACAACGATCGCAAACACACAATGCCGCCAAAAATACGTAGAGTGCCCGGTCGCAAGGCAGCGGTAGCTGAGGAAGCGCCTATTGCATCACCTCTCAAGCCGAGTCGCGCGTCCAGAGCCGATGCAGTCGAAGCCGCTGTTGAGCCACCAAAGAAGCGTGGACGTCCCGCAAAAGCGAAGACTGAAGAGCCCGTTGTCCAAGACGCGCCGAAGCCCAAGAAACGCGGTCGCCAGCCTAACATTGCGCCTGCGCCTGAGCCTGAGCCTCTTATCGAAGCGCCTGTAGTCAAGAAGGGTAGAGGAAGGCCCAAGAAAGAGGCTGTGCCCGCACAAGAAGAAGCACCAGTACAAGAACAAGCACCCGTCAAGAATCGTGGAGGCCGTCCTCGCAAAGCAGATGTGACCGCAAACGCGCCGCCAGCTACACCCAAGCGTGGTCGACCAGCGCGCACTGCGGCCCTCGATCTCGACCGGGTCACTGGTCCCTCTCGAATCGGCAAGCGGTCGTCTCCTCTCACAAAGACCAAGGCTGAGCCCAACATCGCCCGCCGTCTTGATCCACGCATGCGCTCCAAGCTGCGCACCCGCCTACCTCCAGCCAAGACTGTCAAATCAGAGCACGTCACAAAGCCAGCCCCGAAGCCAACCGCCCGAAGAGGACGACCGCCCAAGGATGTCGCCCCTGTTCCAAAGCCAGCTGTAGTCGAGAAACCTACGAAGCCCGCCAAGCCTCTTGCTCCTCGCAAGATGCGCGGCCACACCTTGCGCCAGATCCCAGATCAATACGTGGCGCAGGTAGATCAATATCTCCAGGACCTGATCGAAGCCGACGAGGAGCAGCTAGAAGAGATAGACGAGGAACAAGAAGAAGATGGCTTAGTCGTGGAGGATGTCGTGGAGGATGGCCAAGACGTCTTGGTCTCTTCAGAACAAGACCGAGAGCAGTATCAAGACTACAGTGATGATGGTGGTGTCGGTATGGATGGCCAACAAGACGGTGTTCAAGACGACGAGGACAACCAAGCTGTTGTCGCACAACAGGACGAAGAGGGCGCCGAGGAACTGCCAGAGGGCGTGAACAATGACGAGGTACCCGAACAGACCAACGGAATCCACGTCGTTCCCGAAGACGATGCCCAGAGCGAGAACGCCGAGCCGATACCCCGGATCGAGATGAGCGTGCAAGAGGTTGTCGACATGGAGCAGGATGGGGCTGTCAACGTACATACTGAGGTGCATACAGAAATGGTGGTTCCTGAGAATATTTCTGAGGACGGTATGGATTTCTTCCATGGCGCCGAGGAGGATGGCCTGATCAGTGGTACTCCTGCGCCTCCTGCGGCTGTTATTTTCAGTTAAGCAGCCTATTTCCGGTCCGGTCTGGAAGTACACATCTGTCCCTCTTCATGTTCGCATACAGAAGTGGCATTATCATCGCAGTAGCAGGCAGCTTTCGCATAGCGGCCATTCTTTAGGTGCTATGATATCCGGTTAGTGGGAAGCAATTAGCTCAGTAACAGACTCCAGGTCCTATACATAGGGTTAGCACCCAAAATAGGGATGCCATCTGAGCGCGTTCGTCTTATATACAGATACATGACTTGCGAAAAGAAAGTCGCGTCTGTTTCCAGTCGTTTGAGTGGTTGCTAATAGACTGAGCAGGCCACATGTCACCTAATGAGTGATGTTTTCAGTCTGGTTTTTTGCCATCACTAATCAAGTCTCTAATACAAAGATGACGGTTGTGATGTGCTCTAGATTAGACATCAATGCACGTTGTGTTAGAGCATCAATGTGACATTCTGTGCCTACCACCAAGGCAGATCTTGTAGGCAACTCAAAAGGTAAGAATCATATCTAGATATCATTACTACCTTGTTCCTAGCACGAACTTTTTTAGCTACCGCTAACGATCGACAGTCATCCGCTCTTCACTGTCTCCGCCGTACCCGGCCTACTCGTCTCAAAAATGCTCCTCCGTTTCCTAATCTCCTCGCCCCTCATGCGCCAGCCCGTCCAGCAACAGAACCCCAGTCGCTCAACTTCACAGCAGCTAATGGGAGAAGATAGAATTCCCCTCAGTATGCTCATGACCATGGCCATGGCTGTGTCCACCAGATGCACCATGGTTATGGATCGTGGTTCCACTCGACACTACCCTAGAGGTCATCGACTTTGCGCCACCACGAGCTCCACCGCTGCTCGCATGGTACACGCTGCTGGCAGACTCTTCGAAGCGCTCCATCTCGCGACACTTCTCTTCGTACTTGGCCATGTACTCGTCGCGTTCACGATCGGCGGCGTGACGAGCCGAGATGGCACGTTCCTTTTGTTCGCGAGCTTCATTGAGCAAAGTGCGAAGAGAAGTGATCTCAAACTCAAATTCGGCGGAAGAGTCGTCGTATGTGGAGATAGTCTCGGTGATCTCCTCGTACTTGTGCTTCCATGCGTTGAGGTCAGAGTGAGCGCGGTCGCGAGCGTACTTGAGGTTGGTGATCTCGGTTTGGAAGATGACTAGCTTTTCTTGGAGACTGTTGATCTCGCCGGTGAGGTGGCCGTGTTTGCCGCGTGAGTCCTCGCCCTCACGGTAGAGGACCTTGTTGCGTTCGGTAAGAGTGTGAATCTCGGACCTGATCTCAGTGATGGTCAACTCGGCGCGACGGAGGGATTCCTCTAAGTTGTTGATACGGCGGTGACCGTCCTCAACCTTGCGGTGCTGGTCATGAAGGTCTTCCTTCAGCTGGTCACGCTCGATCACGATGAGGCGATGGTCCTCGCGAGAGCGGTCGATGGCATCTCGAAGCTCAGTGCGCTCAAGCTCAAGGTCTCTCAACTTCTCCTTGACTGAGACGACCTCACGCTTGATGTGTTCATACTTGAGTGAAAACTCATTGGCACGGGCATCGGACTCTTCCCAGCCAAGGATTTTGGCCTTGACCTCACGGCGGAGACCGTCAATGGTAAGGGCATGATCATCACGCTCCGTTTCGATAACGCGGACAACCTCCTTAAGCTTGTGGAGCTCGCGTTGTACACGGTCATGTCGCTCCGTCAGTTCAGTGTACTCGCGAGTAGTCTCGTCAACTCTAAACTTGGCACGCTTCAGCTCCTCGTGAAGGCGATCTTTCTCATGGAGATGCTCATCCCTCTCAAGCTCGAACATCTTGATGCGATCGGTAAGGGTGAGAACCTCCTTGCGAGTAGATTCGAACTTGGAAGTAGTCTCGCTGTACTTGCTCTTGAGCTCAGTGTGCTCACGGAGAAGCGTCCTAAGTTCGCTGTGATGCTTTTCCGAGTCGAATCGAGCGGAGTCGCGCTCGCCTTCACAGATCTTCAACCTGGAGTAGGCAGCTTCTAGCTCAGACCTAGTCCTTTCGTGTTCGCCGTGGGTGAGAGTGACAGAGCTCTGAAGCTCATGTAGCTCATGACGGGTGCTCTCAAGGTCACGGTCCCGATCGGCGAGCTTCTTCTTGTGGTCGGTCACTTGAGTAAGTGCAGCAGTGAGCTCAAGTATGAGCTTCTCCACCTGCCTCTTCCTCTCGCCGTGCTCGTGGCCGTGGTGCGAGTGCTCAGCTTCCTTGCGCTGAATCTCCTCAGTCACTTCCTCAACTGTGATGAGAAGCTCATCCCTCTCGCGAACGAGACTGTCTCGCTCAGCCATGATACGAGACCATGACTCCTTTAGCGAAGAAGCCTCTCGGGAGGCAGTAGACATAAGATCCATCAGAGCGAAGAACTTGCCCTCGGCTTGCGATGTGAGCTCTGTGGACATCTTGCTCCGATGTGACTGGAGGAAGCTGCTTGCTCGGCGTGAAGATGAGCTCGTCTGCCGAGTGGAACGGCGTGTCAAGGATGAGCTGTGACTTGCACCATTGGCATGGTTTCCAAACGAGAAGGATCGGTTGCCTGTAGGTGAGGAAGGCTCAGAGAAGACATCTCGGATTCCACTAGCTTTGAGCTTCATGATAGTAAGCTTTTCTGGTGTGATGTCGGAATTGGCTGCAAATGTGTCGGCCATTTTTTGATCATGAAAAATACTGTTGTAATGAAAAGAGTACTGAAATGCCAATTTCTAAAGGATGGGCATGAGTGAAAAGTGGTACTTATGCTGTCGATGCTGTCGATGCTGTCAATCAATACCCCGCCCACATACTACGATAGTGCATCTAAGCGGCATATCTACGCGTCCATTGGCGCCGTCTGTTGCGCGATTAGACGAAGTGCTTGTGGCTTGATGCTCGAAGACAGATTCGTGGATATGACGCAGTATTCGTAGAGCGTCTGGCGAATTGGGGAAGTCATCCCAGCTGCCGCTCGCTGCGCTTCACTGTTACCGGAAAGGCATATACAGCAGCTTGAAGCCATGCATGGGATAAGTGGGACCGGTCCTGTAGGGTGTCGGCGACTTGGGAGGTGGAGTTAACCATGATGGTTGGAGGAGTTCAGCTTGATCAAACATCGTCTAAGACAAATCAGGCCGGGCGTCGCCATACCTATGCAATGGCAATCCTCGGTAGTGCAAGGTCAGCGACCGTCGCCTAGCACTCCTCGCTTGGTGGGTCATTCTCGACTGGATGATACCAGGTGCGGGTAGATCACAAGGGCTGAGTATCTCGATGCTGCAGATTGCAGATCAAATGTGGGGGACGGGCCGCGCTATCACCCTCGCTCCATCGCTAGACGTCGCTTGCTTCTTTCGGCCGCTACATGACGCCTGAGCTTTCGATAGTCCTAATCGAGCGTTTGCCCTTCCACGCAGTGGAGAAGTCCTGAGCCAATCATGCTTCTTGGAGCGCTGGATCGGACCGTGATAATGCAATCGATCACGTCGGGGACGGCCGGTCGATGAGATGACGACTGCCATTGAGGAACGACCCACATCTGAAAGATATCTGTAGCACGATATTCACAATAAGCGACGATGGAAGAGCCGGCGGTTGGGAAACGTCGCGTCGAGTTTTTGTGGTGATCATCTAGGTAGGGTTACCGGTCCAGGTGGTTGACGCTACTTATGTAGTCATGACCCCCACTATCGGCGGCGAAGAAGCAATGAAGTACAGGAGTTTGCATTGCTAACCTTCCGTAGTTCTTTGGGGAGAGAAAGCAACAAATCTCCAGGGTCAATCTCGTTTGGCTTTGCTGTGCGCATGGCTGTTTGTGATGCACGCTGGCGGAAGTTTCATCGTTCCTTCATGGTACATACGCAATCGGGTATCCGCACTGGGCAATGAACGTGGGTACACGGTACGTGGGTCCGGGAGTTCCGCTACTCAATCATTTTACTAACGGATGTAGAAGTCAATGTACAGCCTTCTGGATGCTTCTTCAGACCACCAGAGTGACTTACGGAGTCACGTTTTGCCCGGAGTGACGCGGCTACTCGATTCCGCATATCGCGCGGCAACTACTACACACACTCTTTTCTTATCCGCTCATGGATGTTTTCGCCCGCATCACATCTGATGTATTTCAATCACATTGTGTGTGCTCCTAGTAGGTCGTACCTAACGTGACCTGTTGAGCATTCTTGATATAGTGCTCTCCACCGGATCTTCTGATAGGCTTCAAACCTATCTTGTGCTACGGGTTGGTTCCTGCAAGACCATATTCAGAATCATCCGAAATTACACAAAGGTTTATTGCCCAATAACCACACAGAATACAGGAGATGTCACTTTGAGGTAAGGGATTTTACCCGGACAGAGGCAAACGAGTAGCCAGATTGAACGACGACTGATGATAATAGTTACACACAAGCATTGAGGTAGTTTGCCCACCCTCAAGTCTTGGAAAAAAGCCATGAATTCGTTACTCGCATGCCCAGTCTTCCTACCACGAACAATCATTTTGTCGATTCAGTTCACATCCATATCAGCATGCGCACACCCTCGAGACCGCTGCAAAGCAAACGATTGGTATATATGTGAATGCAATTCAGGCTGGCTGGTATGTTATCATGTTTTGTAGTAATAAGCCTGCTAAGCAATACCTCTGTAGCTGGCATCCAAACACAGGGGTGGTGGTCACCGCGTAGACATGTATCTCACTGAGTCTTCATCAGCAGGCACACAGACGTGGGTAGTAGCGAAGGACTACCCAGTACCGAGCGATGGGGGCTTGCAGTGTGTAGAGGGTGGGTGTGATGAAGGAAGGAAGGAATACGAGCGTGTTTTGAATAGGTAGGCTTTTGAAGAGGACACCGTTAGACTAGGCTTTTGGCAAACCCGTCGTTACCATAGACACCTGCAACGGCACAGGCTTGCCCGATTCGTCAAGCATCCACGTGCTGAAAGTTCTCGTCTTCAATTCTTAATGGTCGTTGCAGCTCCCTTTTATACTGGAAAATCTCTTTATTATGTGATTAAATACTGTTTCAACGTAAAACACATCTCTCTACACGACGATGGGCTTACCGAGGGCATCGGGCCCATCACAATGCAAAAGCCCGACCTAACGTTGAACGCGTACCCGCTACTCGAAAAGAAACTCCATATGCTGATGTATGGCAGTCGGCCAATAGTTGTCGAGAGCACTCGAGCGTGCCGGAAACTAAGACCGAAGTGCAAGAAAAGGCTTAGGCAGCGCTAGTAAATTACAATATCTATGTAGCCTGAACCGCCTCGTTATGATCCCCGTCATTAAATCTATATGAGAAAAGCGTCTTGTTTTCATTGACATGGAACACGTTACTCCTCAGTCCAAGGCCCACCTCTGCGAATCGCGATCAGCCAACGGCACCACGTTATAATTTAGACGTTGAACATAGTAATCGTCTTCTAGCTCATGTGCTCGCGGTTTGCGCTGCACCTGGCCTAACAGAATCGGTTTCAGTCCTTTCTTGAAGTTGAACAAGCAAACAGTTCCTACAACGAGCGCAAGAGCCGAGAAGCCCAGCGCAACGCAAGAGTAGAATACCATCTCATCCTTCATCAGAGTTTTAGAAAGTATTGTATGTCCATAAAGAACGAGCAGTCTGCTAATCAGATATGCAATTGTTGCGGCATGGAGGAGCTGCGACATGAAGTGTTAGCGAGTGTCAGTCTGTAAGAATCGAAGGACGCACCAAAGCAAACCCCATCCCAATCCGGCGCTCATGCCTTACAAAATAGACTGCGATAGCCACATGTACAAGAGTAGCCGGAAGGATCGAGAGAGTCAACGAGAACTCGGGCTCCACGTAATGGACGTCGATGAAGGCGTAAATGAATATGAATGCGAAAACAAAGTAAGGTGTGAGCTTGAGAAGAACAAGATAGATCTGCTTCGGGTTAGCATAGCCGGGAAACGACAATAGTGGGAACACTTACCTGATAGATCATGTATTTTGTTTGTATCTTCCTGTCAGGACTGACGTGCTGGTACAAAGCCCAGGAAAACTCACGGTATAGTCCCCTGGCTAACCAGCACATGATGACACTGCAAACGCATGTGACAACTAGACAAACCATCAAGCCGATCGAAACCTTCTTCCGGAAAGGCCAATCAAAATCCGCAAAAGGCGTGCCGAACTGGTCGTGATTAAGAAGGATCCTATCAGCTGCATGTCGGATTTCGCCGTATTGAAGAACAGTCGAGATTGACAGGCATATGTTGGCGACGCATTGCGCGAAGATCTAAACGTGAACGTACGAAGTCAGTAGTTGTTTTGCGTGCACTCCGTGAGGTGGCATCACTGACCTGGATGTGATTCTTGATCCGATATGCATCAAGCGTTAATATGACTTGGAAGAGACATCCCAAAGTATTGACAGCGAGCGTCAAGGGCGTGACATAGGCGAGTGGCACTTGGTATACGACTGAATTAACCCAGTTAAGATAGACGATGAGTATAACCCTAGAGACGTTAGGCGATCGTTCCAGTGCTAGGCTTTGCGGGGTGATACGAACGTCTGTATAGTAATATTCGTAAGGGCTTGCACCGCAGTAGTGCCAAAAAAGGCCCATTCCAATCTCGTTTCCGGCCGCCACGAGACCATCGTGATTGTTATTTCCTGATCGAGCGCTCTACACGCCTAAAGAGGTAATGCAAACAAAAGTGGCGCAATCCAGCCAGCCACAGAGAAAAGGCAGCGGAGATTGTGTGTGTGTGACGGGAGAACCTCTTTAGCAGTCTCGAAGGGATCATAACAACGCGCGGACACAAGCAAAAACCTTCAAGTCCTACCCGTAGTTTGGCACTTTCCACGCAGGGGTCCACTAGGACAAGTCGAATACGGGAAAGGAGTTTCCGTGCTATGCCGTATTCAGCCGAATGTTGAGCCACCGCAGCTGAGATGCACGCTAAACTATCCCCACTTCTTACGGCGAGCGCTCCCGACACGTCGATAGAGCTTCTGATTGACAGATATCAAGTCTGACAATGCGGTTCTTCGTCTCTCGGCATCTCCGCGTGGGGCAGCACCGGACTAGCGCCTTCTCCAGCATGACAACTTTCGTACAACTCTTCTTCGTATCATCAACCCAAGCTCAAGACACATCAGATCCAGGCTAGGATCGTGGCCATGCTTCACTTTCTGTGTTGAGGAGGGTCAGCTATGGCGATGATTTAAAGGGTCTCTTACGCACACAGGCCCGTCTACGATCTGCTGGTTCAGGTACGCCGATGCACGACTTACGCCAGGGTCACCCCTTGGCCGTTACGAGATTGAGGGTCAAAAAGATCCGCGGACAGCAGAAATGGGAGAACAGGTGCATAATGATTCCATCTCTCTTTGGTAAGATGCTTGTCGGACTCAAGGAGCGGCCGAGAGAAAGTTCCATGATCTCCACATGGTAACTAAATAAGGTCTTAAAGTCGGCCAGACACCTTTGACCGTACCATCTCTCCACTCAGTAGACTTTGCTACTAACAACTGCTTTAGAGAACGATGGAAGAGCCATGTAGTGTCAAAGTGGAGAAAAGGTATCTTATATCTATTCAAGAAGTGTGATGGACATACATATATTGTATTCCGTCTCAAAGTCGCGCGAAGATTGAACATACCTCTAGCCATACAAACATTACGCTATCTAATCAGCTTCGCTATCGCGGCTTCGGATGAGATATCCCAGCACTCTACGCCGTCGCATCACCGCTTTTCGCTCGCTTAGCCTCCCTTTCTTCCCCTACATTTGCGTCAGCGCGTCTTTTACCCTCGTCTTTCCTCGCTGTGTCCTTTTCTTCCCGCGCAACACGCCGCGCCTCTTTGTCTTGCTTCTCTTTCTCCTTCCGGAGGGCTTTGCTCTCGAACTCGTGCCAGTCACCCTCCAGCTCCTTCAGCGCATCAGCGCGTTTCGGTGGCGGCGCCTCGCTTGTGAAGAAAGGGTGCTCGAGTACGTCGGCGGCCGTGGGTCGCGCGTTGGGATCGAAAAGGAACATGGCCTGGAGGAGCTCGAAGGCCATAGGGCTAACACGATCTTTGTACTTCTCCTCGAAAGTTGACTGCTTCCGTTCGGTTGGGCGCAGTAGTTCAAACCATTGCATATCAACGATGCCAGGCCAGTCCTGCACGGTGGGCGTGCCCAGTATGTTATAGATCTTGTCCAACTGGTTGATCTCGCCACCATCTCCTGGGAAGATAGCGTGTCGTGTGAAGATCTCCACCAGTACGCAAGCGGCTGACCAAATGTCAACAGCCGGCCCATACTGAGTTTCTCCCAACAGCAGCTCCGGTGATCGGTACCAGATGGTGATGACTCGGTTCGTATAGTCGAGCTTGCTGCTCTTCGCGTAGAATCGTGCGAGACCGAAATCTGCCAATTTCAACTGCCCGGTGTTTGATACCAGGATGTTCGCAGCTTTGATGTCTCGATGTAAAACGCCGCGACGGTGGAGGTAGTCTAGACCGTCGAAGAGCTGTTTTGCCAGATCTTTCTTGTGTGATTGTTCAAGCTTGAAGGTTGGGTGATTCAAAAGACCAGTGAGATCGTGGGATAGGTACTCGAAAACCATGTAGCAGTCGTTCTTCTCAACCATGACCTCTCGTAGATTGACGATGTTGGCGTGGTTGAGAGATTGCAGCAACTTGACCTCGCGAATCGCGGTGACCGGAAACTAATAGTTGTTAGCATTGTCGTGTCATCACTTGTTGGATGTACTTACGCCATCGCGTTCACCCTCCATTCGGATCTTCTTGAGGGCAACCATGTCCTTTGTATAAACATGGACACCCTTGAACACCTTCCCGTACGTACCGGATCCAACTACCGATTCGTTACCTGGCTTCCTGTAATACACTGACTCCGAAGCTGCATGTTCAGGAACCAGAGTAGGTCGGGGCTTCATGCGTTTTCTTGTAACAATCTTTGTCTTCGGTACTTGAGGAGGTGGTGTCCTTCGAGCAGGTCGCGGATCGGAGCGCGGGTCAGGGCGCGGGTCAAACCGCCTATCGTCAGGTCGTCGTGGTGGGTATGGCTCTCTGCGATCTCTGATATCTCGGGGATCTCGAGGGCTTCGCAGGTCTCGAGGGTCCCGTTCACGAACATCGCGTAGGTCTCTCATGTCTCTCGGGTCACGCAAGTCTCTGTCTCGTGGCTCTCGGAAGTCCCGCTCTTTGCCACGATAATATGGAGGTTCTCGAGGATCCCGCATATCTCGAGCGTCTCTATCGCGAGGATCCCGTACATCTCGGTAAGCCGGTTTCCGGTCGTAATAGTTGTCATATCGTCGGTCTCGTTCCCTGTTGTCCCGCTCGCGACCGCTGTCGTAACCTCTGTCCCTGAAGTCTCGATCTCGGTCGCTTCTTGGTTCCGGGCGGCGGGGGGAAGCTTCACGCGCTGGGGCTACCACCTTTGCCTTGGGAGCAAGAGGAGATTCTTTAGGAACTGGTTCTGGTCTCTCGGACTCTTCCAACCCAGGCTTTGCTTTACTCGCTGGTGGTACTGGGTTCTTTGTCTTCAACGAAAACCCAAACCCTGACTTTGGCGCCGTCGGAGGTTTCGCCGGTCTTTTTTCCTCTTTAGGGCCTTCGTCTTCTACGCGCAAGTCTTTGGATGGGCGAAATGGATTATCGTCGGCGTCGACAGATGCAGAATCAGCAGGGGCTTGGGATGCGACAGCCGGTTGTGGACGTGGTGCTTCAGTGGCGGGGCGGCCGCCTCGAGTGCCGGATGCTGGCGTCCATGACAGGTTTGAAAATTGTGTAGGCGCGGTACCACGCCCTCGTCCACCAGGTCCGCCAAACGGAGGATTTGCGCCAGGGCCTGACATGCGTCGGTCGGGACCATTGAAGTTGTTGCCGCGGTAACTGCCATGACCTCCGCGGTGAGGACTGTTCTGAAAGCCAGGTTGTGGATACGACTGATTTGGATAGTAACCGGGTGATTGGTTTTGATGGTAAGGGGACTGGTTTGGGGTATAGCCTTGCATGGGAGACCTGATGATGTCAGCATGGGAATGACCAAAGGCCAACGGGACTAGGACTAACCCTTGATTAGGATATGGCTGGTTGTTCCAACCGCCTCGACCACCATGATAAGGGGACTGGTTTTGAGGAGAATATTGGTTCTGGGCAGGATACGGTGGGGATTGCTGAAACCCACCACGTCCCTGGTAATGATATGCTCCCCTCATGTTGCCTTGGTCCTCCCGGCTCTTGGATGCGTCAGAGTTGTACCCTGATCCAGGTGCTGGTGAGCCTCGGCGTGAGGTGATCCTATCTGCGAGGGCAGGTTTGCCAGGATCTGCTCCTTTGTCCAAACGTTGGCGCGGTCTTGATGTAAAAGAGGGCGATCGGGATGAACGACGTCGAAGGGATGAGCGAGGTGAGCGACTCCTACACGGGGGCGGTGAGTCTCTGCGAACTGAATCTGGAGATCGTCTACGAGGTGGGCGAGAGGGAGATCGAGCACGTCTGGAAGCTCGACTGCGACTTCTTGCCCTGTCGCGGTTGTTGTAAGACTTGTATGATCGTTCCCTGCGGTCGTCGAACGGCGAAATAGGCCTACGATCAGTCCTTCTCGGTGACGTTCGCCGAGGCGATATTTCACGCCTAGATCTCCTCTCCAGTGAAACTGATCTCTTCCGTGAACGATGCGCCACTGGCCTATAATGACTATCGACAGAGGGAGAGCGGCGACGATTTGAAGCCGTCGGGAAGTATGTATCGGGCGTGGGCCTTCGAGGCGGTCGGTCGCGGTCGGAGCGTGCAGGTCGTGGAGAGTATGCCCTGCTGGGAGGTCGACCCGGCGAGTACGCACGTCGTGATCTGGACGTGGAGCGTATAGAGCTACGACTCCCTTGTCTTTTTACGCGTTTCGCGGAGCCTCTCGGAGATGGAGAACGCGGGTGGTGGCGTTTTGAGGATGGAGTCGTGTCGCGATGGTGGTGGTGGTGTCGATGTGAGTGGGAAACCCTGTCTGCGCTGGCTTCCCTCTTCGAAGCTCGATAGCGGTCCTCCCCAGAGGTGCTGCGACTGCGGCGACGCGCGCG